AAGACAGCCGGTGGGGGCCTCTGGGAAGTGTAGGCAACTGCCTTCTAGTGCCCTGGGATGCAGACCCAGGCGGCAGCACCAGCAGCAAGAATGAGCCTGTGCCGAGGCATCAGAAATGAGGGGCATCGGGGAGCCTGGCTGGCTCAGTCGGTGGTGCGTGCGACTCCTGATCTAGGGGTCGAGTTCAAGCCCCACGCTGGGTGTAGAGATTATTTAAAATCTTAGTTAAAAATGACATTATTTATTTTTTTCCAAAGATTTTATTTGAGATAGAGAGAGGAGTGGTGGGGAGCAGCAGAGGGAGAAGTAAGCCCCCCAAGAGCAGGGAGCCCCATGTCGAGCTCCACCCCAGAACCCTGAGGTCATGACCTGAGCCGAAGGCAGATGCTTTACCGACTGGGCCACCCAGGTGTCCCCCAAAAGATCTTCAAAAACAGAAAAGAATCGAGGGGCAGGACTCTTGAGATGCTGTGAAGAGAAGCGGGCTCATCACGGGTAACACCACTAGCAACAGAATGACACACAGGTGCACAGTGCTCCTACAGCAGGGAAGGTCGCCAGGATTAGAAGATTCCTTCATTCTCCTCCTGTCTTAAGTCTGAAGCTTGTTTCTTATTTTAAAAATGGTGAGCACTTTCCCTCTTTTCTGAAGATCTCCTCCTTTGGCCCTTTCCTTCTCGACACGATGAGGGACTGTGGACACCTGCCAGTCTCGTAGGCTGAGCTTCCCGCCCCAGCTCCTCCTTGAACTCTTCGGCCTCCCTTCACTCTCCCGACCCCTTCCTCTTCTGTTTCTCTCGTCTTACCCCACCCTGCTTTCTGGCCTGTGGAAAGTGAAAGGCGAACCTTACAAAAAAAACAGTAACCAGCCGGAGAAACAAAACGTCTGAAAACCTGAAAATGCGCCAGCTGTCCAGCCTGTCCCTTGTGTGGGCCAGAGGCCCCCCGGGGAGTGGTTCTGCCCAGCAGCTCCTCATCCTGGGGATGCCAAGGGCGCTCCCACTTACAGAGGGAAGGAGCTCCTGTGACCAGGAGCTGAACCCCGAGGCTGAAGCAGCACCTCCTGCCCCCGCGCTGCACAGGGCAGGGCCGCACTGGCCCATCGCTCGGCAACAGGCCGGCCTCTGCGTGGGGTCTGCTCTTCCTTCCACTCTGATGGGCTCCCAGCGCGCTCAGAACGGAAGCCACAGTCTTTACCTGCCGGCCTGGGCACGTCCCACTCCGCGACCACATCGCCTGCCTCACTCCCGAAGCTCCGACCACCTTGGCCTTTCAGTTCCTCCACCCACCCGAGCACTTTCCTCCCCTGGGCTCCTTCCCACGGCTGTCCCTGAGGATGAGCATCCTGCCCCAGCCCTTCGCATGCTGGGCTGTTCCCCTCTGCGGGCCGGGGCTGCAGGATCACTTCTCAGAGAGGTTACCTACCGCTTTCACGGCCTTCTTCAGAGCACTTCCCACAGGAGACGGTCCTATCTTCCTGTGGCCCTTGTACTTGAACGTCAGCTCCGAGAGCAGGGACCAGAGCTGCCTGGCTCCCTGGATGTCCCTGTGCCCAGCAGTGCCTGGCACATATTTGGGCCACGACCGCAGGTGACCGTGCTGAAGGGAACGCTGTCCTCGCATTCTTGGCCTTCACTTTTTTTTTTTTTACATATTTTATTTATTCATGAGAGACACAGAGAGTGAGGCAGAGACACAGGCAGAGGGAGAAGCAGGCTCCCTGCAGGGAGCCCAGTGTGTGACTCGATCCCAGGACTCTGGGATCAGGCTCTGAGCCAAAGGCAGACACTCAACCCCTGAGCCACCCAGGCGTCCCCGGCCTTCACCTTGTAATGACGTAGCACGCACCAAGTGCTAAAATCACTGGGTCATTATGGCTGAAGGCAGAGGGAAAACTTTCTGAATACTGCAAATGTCAGTAAGCCGGGTCATCTGTGACCTCTGGTCTTAGGGTCCCCTCCTCAGGAAGAATAAAGAGCAGTAAATTTCAAAACTTATGAGACTTGCACAAACATGCTATACAAGTGTACATTTTATATTTTGTAATCACTACCCAGGTGAGGGACAGAATCTGAATCAGAAAGCTGGGCAGCCCAGGTGGCTCAGTGGTTTAGCGCCGCCTTTGGCCCAGGCTGTGATCCCCAGGTCCTGGGATCCAGTCCTGTGTCGGGCTCCCTGCATGGACTCCACTTCTCCCTCTGCCTCTCTCTCTGTGGGTCACTCATGAATAAATAAATTCTTTAAAAAAAGTAAATCAGAAAGCTTACACAATAATTACTTTGAATTTCCCAGTCTTTTTTTTAATGAAAAAATTTTTAAAGATTTTATTTACTTATTCATGAGAGACGGAGGGAGGGAGGGAGAGAGCGAGAGCGAGGCAGAGACACAGGCAGAGGGAGAAGCAGGCTCCAGCATGGAGCCCGATGTGGGACTCGATCCCCGGTCTCCAGGATCACGCCCTGGGCCGAAGGCGGCACTAAACCGCTGAGCCACCCAGGTTGCCCTAATTTTTTTTTTAAGTAGGGCAACACGCCCAACGTGAGGCTTGAGCTCACAACCCTAAGATGAAGGGTTACATGGTCTACACCTAGGCTGGCCAGGCACCTTTTTCCGTGAACTTTGAAATCCAAGTTGATTTGATCGGGGGTGGGGGGGGAAGGCAGGTGAAAAGAACTTGCCACATGAACACTGAAACCTTACGGGGTAATTTACTTTTGGAGGGTGCTTTACAGTTCACAAAGAGCTTTCTCATTCCCATCCCCTTTGCTGCTTACCACTGACTGGGAGGGAGGTAGTGGCGGGCAGAGGGTCACTGACAGGGCGGGGACTTTGATCTTTATACGCTAGGCGCTTTCACACCTCCTAACAACTCCAACATCAGAGTACCCCCATCTCTGCAAATGAGGAAACAGGGGTTCAGCACTTGCTCTGCCTAGGGTCACACTGCTGAGTGGCAGGACGGTCCTCCCACTCCACGTCTCAGCTCCATCCAGTGGAGCAGCTTCTCCTTTCAGAAGAGCCTTTTTTTTTAAAAAAAAAAAAGATTTATTTATTCATTAGAGACACAGAGAGGGGCAGACACACAGGCAGAGAGAGAAGTAGGCTCCATGCAGGGAGCCCGATGCAGGACTTGATCCCGGGACCCTCGGGTCATGCCCTGAGCCAAAGACAGATGAGCTTCGCTGCTGAACCACCGAGGCGTCCGTCAGAAGAGTTTCTGACCGGCTTCATGGACACCCAAACTCTTGGTTTTCCTTTTATTCAATGGCCAGTTCCTCCCAGCCTCCTTTGCTGGATTTTCCTTCTCTCTGCCACTTTGAAATGCTGGGGTGGGCCCGTTTCACTCCATCTACACTCTTCTCCTGAATGCATTCATTCAAGGTCACCGTTTTAACTACCTAGACAATGTGTGGAGGCTGAGAGAATTAGGGCCATTCAAGTTTAACATTGGCCCAAGTACAGCCATTGTAGCTTCGATAGCCATCTCCGGCCACTGTGACCAGGCCACTGTGACCATGTCCTGAATCCACCTTACCCCAGCTACAGAAAAAAACACAAAGCACGGCCTTATCGGAATAAGGAAGCAAGAGCTTGTGAGACCTCTTTACTGGAGATTCTCACACATACCCCCCCTTACCGAAAAACGCCACCTTACCCCTAGAGCAGTCCATAAAAACCCAGCTGTAACCCATCTTGGGGTCCAAGTCCCTGCTCCGCTGTGTTGGGTATACTTGGACCCAAGCTTGAGCTTACTAATAAACCCTCGTGTGCTTGCATTGGTGTTGGCTCCTTGGTGGTTTCTCGGATTTGCAATCTTGGGCACAACAAATGTTGGTTCCTAAATTCCAGTTCAAAAAATTAAAAACAAAACAAAACAAAAAACTCGGGCTCCAGCTCAAATTCCAGGGTCTCATGTCCAATTTTCCGCTCAGCACCACCACTAGTGTTTGGCAATTAAAACTTAACGTCCTCCAAACCAGCCCTCTCGCCAAAGCTGCTCCTGGGGCAGTGCTCCCCATCTCGGCACGCGGCACCGCCATCCCGCCCCTCATTCCCATCCCATGGGCAGGTCGTGGTGGCTCTAACCTCGGAGGTCTCTAATCCGAGTCCTGCCCGAACCCCGGAGGTCTCTAACGCGAATCCTCCCCGCACCTCGGAGGTCTCTAACCTGAGACCTCCGGAACCTCGTGGGTCTCTAACGCGAATCCTCCCCGCACCTCGGAGGTCCCTAACCCGAGTCCTGCCCGAACCTCGGAGATCTCTAACCTGACTCCTCCCCACACCCCGGAGGTCGCTAACCCGAGTCCTTCCCAGCGCCTCACTGGGGCCTGGCAACAGCCTCCTCACCGCGCTGCTTCCCTTCTTGCCCGCCCCGGGCGCCTCCTTCCTCTCCCCAGGGCTTCTGGGCTCACCGGGAAGAACTCGGAGATCCACAAAGCCCTGGCTGCCTCCGACCCCTTTCTTCCAGCTCACCCCCTTAGCCACGCCGGCATCTCCTCCCCGCCCAAGTGCCGGCGTGATTCACGCAGGACTTGAACTCCCCGCCCTGAGCTCAAGACCTGAGCTGAGGATGCTCGGCCGCCCCGGGCACACCGCAGCTTGTCCGCGGCCTCCGCCTTCTACTCCGTCCCCGGCTCGCACCCTCCCCGCGCGGCTCACGGCAGCCAGAGGGATCCCGGAGCTCGCCCACTGATCCCTTCGGCCGCTTCCCACTTAGAACAAAAGCCAGCAGAGCCGAGGCTCCCTCGCAGTCCTGCTGCAGCACAGCGGGCTCCCGGAGCGGCGTGGACCCCGCCGCGAGGCAGCGCCTTCTCAGGGCTCCCCGCCCCGCATCTCCGCGGACCCGCTGCGCGAACGCCGCCGAGCCCCCGGGAGCCGCACGGCGCAGGCAGGCCGGCCCCCCGGCGCGAAGCCCCGCCCCCGGCGCGCGGCATCTCGGGATTTGTAGTCCGGCCCCGGAAGGGCAGTCGCCCGCCCCCGCGGCCGCGCCTCCCCGACACTACAACTCCCACGGGGCAGCGGGACGCCGCTCCCGCACCCTCCAGGCCGGCAGGCCGCCTGCCTCGCGGCGGGTTCGGCGGCCGCCGCGGGGCGGGGCGCGAAGATGGCGGACGCGGTCGCTGGCAGAGACAAGTGCGGGGAGCCGCGCCTCGTGTCACTGCCCCTGTCCCGCATCCGGGTCATCATGAAGAGCTCGCCCGAGGTGTCCAGCATCAACCAGGAGGCGCTGGTGCTCACGGCCAAGGCCACGGTGAGGCGGGCCGCGCGGGAGGACGGAGGGGCGGGGGGCCGCCCAGAACCGTCGCGCCCCCCTCCTGAGCCCCCCACCCCGGCCCGCGCGCCGCCGGCTCCCCTTCGCAGGCTCGCGGCCCTCCGCCCCGCCCGCCGTCCCCCTCCTCCTCCTCCTCCTTCTCCTCCTCCTCCTCGGCGCGCCTTCCGCCCACCCACTCGGCTTTCCTCGCTGCCCCGCGCAGCTCCCGTCCGCCCCTGCGCGCCCTCCGCCCCGCCCCCCGCGCGCCGCTCCCGCCCTCCCCCGCGCGCCCTCCGCCCCGCCCCCTCTCCCGCCCTCCCCCGCGCGCCCTCCGCCCCGCCCCCCGCTCCCGTCCGCCCTCGCGCGCCTTTCGCCTACCCGCTCCTCTCCGTCTGCGGCGCCGCGCCCGGCCCGCGCAGCTCCCGTCCTCCCTTGCGCGCCCTCCGGCCCGCCCGCCGCGCTGTTCCCGCCGTCCCCCGCGCGGGCCCCCGCTTCCGGCCTGTCCCTTGGGTTTCGAGCACCGGCGGCTGGGGGGGGGGGGCGGGGCCTCCCGCGCTTCCATCAGCGCCCGTGGTCCCTGCGCGCGCCCAGGTGCACCTGCGGGGCTGGCCGCTCCTCTTAGCGCCCCGGGCCCTGTGTCGGCGGCGGTTCTGCCCGCGCGCGGTGTCCCTGGGCTCGGGCCTCCGTGCTCCCGGGGTCCCGGGGAGCTTCCTTCTGTTTCCCGTTAAAGGGTAGAGTTGAGTGAGCCCTAGACGCCCAGAGCCCGCCCGCGCCTGCGTCCCCCGGACGTCCCCCGCGCCTTCACGCCTCCTTGGGTCGAGAGCCCCGGAGGGAGGGAGAGCGCCCCCCGAGCAGCCTTGGCCTCGGGGTGCTCGGTGTCCCCGCCCGCACGTCCGGCCTGGCCTGCGGGGGTGAGGGTGTGGGGCGCGGGCGGGCGCTAGGACTCCTCCTGCGTCCCTGGCCTGGAGCGCGTTGGAGTGAGGAGCCGTGACGTCGAGGCCCCGCTCAGGTGGTGCTTTAGGGAGGGCGCTGGGGCAGATGGGGAAACCTCGGTTTTGAGCTCCAAGTTGTGGGGTGTTGCAGGAAGCCGGCGTAGACACGGTGCTCAAGGAGAAGGCCCTCGGTGTGCTCCTGGGTCAAGGAGGCAAGTTAGGAGTGGCCTTAGCTCCTCAAAGGAGGACCGAGCTGTAGTCCTTGCTCGCTTCCGACCCGCGGCTCAGTGCCTTGTCAGCGTTTTGCCTGCATTAGGAATCTAAAGTGACTTTCGGGCAATGCCTGCTTCCCCACCGGCTTTGATGGGGCCTCGCGGCCTTTCTGGCCCCCCCTGGCTTCCTGCAACTGGAGAACCCAAGATAATCTGCAGTCAGGTCACCTAAGCCTTAACGTAATTTAAAAGATCAAGTTCAGGGATCCCTGGGTGGCGCAGCGGTTTGGCGCCTGCCTTTGGCCCAGGGCGCGATCCTGGAGACCCGGGATCCAATCCCATGTCGGGCTCCCGGTGCATGGAGCCTGCTCCTCCCCTCCTCTCTCTCTCTCTCTGTGTGTGACTATCATAAATAAATAAATTTAAAAAAATTAAAAAAAAAAAAGATCAAGTTCTGCGGCAGGTTTTTGAAGCATGCCTTTCATTTTACTTTTTCGTTTTGTCTTAGGAACTCTTTGTTCAGTATCTAGCCACCTATTCCTACAGACATGGCAGTGGGAAAGAAAGGAAAGCACTCACCTACAGTGATCTGTCGAACACTGCAGAGGAATCCGAAACTTTTCAGTTTCTTGCAGGTACTCAGTCTTTGAAACATTCTGGTTAAAACATACATAGTAATTTACGCCTTTTTTTTTTCTTTCCTTCATTTTTTTCTCCTGTTTTCACTGAAATAGACAATTTTTTTTTTTTTTTTTTTTTTTTTGTGCTGCTCCAGGTGCCAAAGTTTACCATGACCTGGCACAGGAAGACATTTGTAGTTTTGTCAGAGTGTGTTTGTAATGTGGTTCACCTAGAATGGTAATGAAGTCAGCAACCTGCACAGGGACGTTTGGCTGGCTGGCTGGCTGGCTGGGTGGCTGGGGGAGCCTGGCCGACCCACCCCTCAGACTCCTTATCACTGAAGGGAAAACTCTGGGCTGGTCTACGTGACCCCAAGAGCAGAGAAAGTAATAGTTGTGGACAGGCTGTGGGGGCCACAGCTGTAAAGAGCTTCCATCTGCCTCCGAGGCCAGCCGGCATGTCTCAGGTAGGTGGGCAGACTTGCTCATCACCAGCACATACAGGAGCACATGATTTGCAGCCCGTGGAGTGGAAACAGGTCTTTGGCAGGAGTCAGGAGGTAGTACTTATTTCCTGCTATTTCACCCAGAAGCATGGTCGGAATTTTGTCTTGTTTTGGAAACTGTTCTAGAGTTCAAAGCAGGAACTAGCACATTTTGAAATTTGCGTTGCTGTGTTTGTGGTCTGCCAAAACCAATTGCTGATGTTAGCTTTATATTTTTAAGATATATTACCAAAGAAGATTTTAGCTAGTAAATATCTGAAAATGCTTAAAGAGAAGAGGGACGAGGACGAGGAGGAGAATGACAGCGATGATGGGAGTGACGGGGACGAAGCAGAATCCTAGACCAAACAGGAAGTGCTTTAGAAATCACCCTGCTGAGGACCCTCCTGGATTAGCAGCATTGCTTGGAAGTAAGCACAGCGCTGTGTGACTTTAGACTCCTCACTTCTCAGAGACTTCAAGTACATTGGATTTCTTCCTGGCTAAGATAGAGCACCTGGTGTGCCCACAAGTGGCCAGAAGGAAAGTGACCCAGACAGCAGCCTCTCTGAGGGGCCCGCACTGCAGTTCGGGGGCACAGAGGCACCAAGAAAGCTGCCTGTATGGTCAGGCACTGCCAGTTGATCTGCTGCAGCTGAAAGCTGTGGAGGCAGACAATTTTGCTTCACTTTTTAATTTACAGATAGATTTTGAAGAGCTTCTAAATACCAGTTGTATAAATTCATAGATGTATATTTGGAAATTAGTTCTTGTAAACAACTTGTAAAATGTAGTTTGAGCTAAATACATAGTATATGGGTAGTATGTTACATTTGAAAAATTAATGATTTGTTCAAATACTGCAATTAACTGTAAAGAAATAAAATTTCTTTATTAGAAGCTGTACATAGTTTTAGTCAATGCTTTGTGGAACTAGTTTTGGAGCTCTCTATTCTAATGTCTTGCATATTATCTGAGAAGTCTGCAAAATTTAAAAATAAGCATTTCTAATACTTTCATTCTCGGAAGAAAAAAAAGTTAAGTCAAATACGAAAGAAATATAATCTCTGTATAAACATATTTCTCTTTAAAACATTTTATTTTTTTATTTTATTTTATTTTCTTAAAAACATTTTAAAACATGTTGTATATTGAAAATCTCTCAGGGCGCCTGGGTGGCTCAGTCAGTTGAGCATCTATCTGCCTTTGGCTCAGGTTATGATTTCAGGGTCCTGGGATCAAGTCCCACATTGGGCTCCCTGCTCAGCAGGGATCTGCTTTTCCTTCTGCCTCTGCCCCTGCTCCTTCTCAAATAAATAAATAAAACTTAAAAGAAAATGTCTTATTTTACTGTTCCTTTCTTTATACTCCATTTGTTTATATTCTTCACAGAGAAAACTACAAGCCCTATTTTTTTTTCCCCCCACATAGGGTAAATTTTTGGCTCTTGTTTTTAGTCTCTCTCTCTCTCTCTCTCTCTCTCTCTCTCTCTTTTAAAAAGTTGAATTAGGGCAGCCTGGGTGGCTCAGCGGTTTAGTGTCACCTTCGGCCCAGGGTGCGATCCTGGAGACCGGAGATCGAGTCCCACTTCGGGCTCCCTGCGTGGAGCCTGCTTCTTCCTTGGCCTGTGTCACTGCCTCTCTCATGAATAAATAAAATCTTAAAAAAGTTGAATTAATTTTACATCCAATAAATCATCCTTTAATAGCCAATCTTTTATGTAAATATCAATATATGGGACAGTTCCCCATCACCCCAAATTTTCTCCTGTACCCCTGCAGTCCCTTCCTTTATCTGCAGGTAACCACTGATACTTTGTTCCTCTCATTTTAAAATTTTTAATTTTTATTTATTTTTTTTAATTATTTTTTTTATTTATGATAGTCACAGAGAGAGAGAGAGAGAGGCAGAGACACAGGCAGAGGGAGAAGCAGGCTCCATGCACCGGGAGCCCGACATGGGATTCGATCCCGGGTCTCCAGGATCGCGCCCTGGGTCAAAGGCAGGCGCCAAACCGCTGTGCCACCCAGGGATCCCAATTTTTAATTTTTTAAAAAAATCCTCGTTTCAATATATAGTTTTGAGCTTTGACAAAACCAGTTACACAACCACAAGATTCAACAGTTGTATCACCCCCCAAATTCCCTCTTGGTCAAAGTCATTTCAAACCCTTTACCTTGGCAACCCACTGAGCTATTCTTTACCCATGTGAAAGTTCACAAACTTTTTCTGGAAAGGGTCATAGAGAAACATTTTAAGATTTGGGGGGATAATAACCTGTCACAGCTGTTGACCTGTGCCATCATAATAGAAAAGCTGCCGTAGACGATACAGAAAGGAATGAGTATGGCTGTATTTTGGTGAGGTTTCATTTCTGGATACTGATGTTTGAATCGTATAATTTTTATGGGTCATGAATTTTTTTTTATGAATTATTCTTTTGAAATAACGTAAAAACCATTCTTAGCGTATAGGCCACACAGAAACACAGTGGGCTGGCTTTGGCTCACAGACCATGGTTTGCTGACCTGCCTTTCCCATGTCACATGGATGGAACACTAGTACAGAGCCAGGGCATACAGCCTTGTTTGGTTATGTGTAACAGGAGATGCGTGTTGTTGCAGGCCAGAATAGGAGAGGAAAGATGCAGGTTGCATGGGTGGCTCAGTCCTTTTTATTGCTAAGGATTTCCTGGTCTGGATGTATAGGTCAACAGAGCATTTCCAATTTGGGTTGTTTCCAGTGTTGATGATTACAAATAAAGCCCTAGAAACCTCTGTATACAGGTTTTGTGTGAACATAGGTTGTCACTTCGATTGAGTATATACTTAATAGAGTTTTGTGTTTAAGTTATAGGAAACTGCCAGACTTCTAAAGTGGCTATGCCATTTTGCATTCCCACTCGCAATAAATGAGCTTCAGATGCTCTGTATCCTCTGCAAAACTTTTATTTCAGCCATTTTCATGGGTATAGGTTTTCATTTGCATTTCTTTTATGACAAATGAGCATCTTTTGCTTATTTGCCATATTTTCTTCTTTTTAAAAAGATTTTATTCATGAGAGACAGAGAGAGAGAGAGGCAGAGACACAGTCAGAAGAAGAAGCAGGCTCTGTGCAGGGAACCCAACGCGGGACTCAATCCCGGGTCTCCAGGATCACGCCCTGGGCTGAAGGCGGCGCTAAACCGCTGAGCCACCCGGGCTGCCCTATTCATATTTTCTTTGGTCCAAGTCTTTTGCCCATCTTTTTATTGGATTTTCTTTCTGTTGAGTTTTGAGGATTTTACATATTCTGAATACGATCCCTTTGCTAGATTTTGGGATTTGCAAATATTTTCTTCCACTCTGTGGCTTGTCTTTACCGTCTCTTGACAGCATCTTTCAAAGAGCAGAAATTATTTCTCTTTGAGAAGTTCTTAATTGGGCAAGTCCAGTTTATCAGTTTTTCTTCTCTGGGGATCATGCTTTTCATGTATCTAAAGACTTGTCATCAAACTCAAAGTAGCAAAGATCTTCTCTGTATCTTAGTAGGCTCCACGCCCAGTGTAGGGCTTGAACTCTAACCTTGAGATCAAGACCTGAGCTGAGATCAAAAGCAGGTCACTTAGCTGACTGAGCCACCCAGGTGCTCCTCTCTGTGAATCTTTGTATTTTTTATTGTTGCGGTTTGAACAACTTTTTAAATATCTCTTTTTAAATGCCATCCATGGCCTCTAGTCTGTGTCTCCACTAACATATTCCTGTTTAAGAAAGCCCCAGGGGAAAAAAAAAAAAGCAAGCCCCAGGAAAAATATTGTATTTTGTGTCTAACCAGCTGAAACATTCTTAACCCATCCAAAGCACTTGAAATCCAATTATTCAGGGATTTCTCCCCTTCCTGGGTCCTCAAGCTACATGCCAGTCTGTTACAGTAGCTTGCTAAATGGTGTCATCTTGTCTGTAGCCTCTTTCCTCTTTTTTTTTAAAGATTTTATTTGAGAGGGAATAAGTGGTGGGGCGGGGAAGAGAGGGGGAGAGAGAAGCAGACTCCCCGCTGAGCAGGGATCATGGGATCCCTGGGATCCTTGGGATCATGACCTGAGCTGAAGGCAGATGCTTAACTGACTGAGCCACCCTTGCAACCCGTCTCTTTCCTCTTCTATTCTGGTATCAGATTACCAGAACACTTTCATGAAGATTAGTGTTTCCTAATCAGAAATGTTAAAAATTGGGATGCCTGGGTGGCTCAGTGGTTGAACGTCTGCCAGCAGCCCAGGGTGTGATCCCGGGGTCCTGGGATCAAGTCCCACATCAGGCTCCCTGCAGGGAGCCTGCTTTTCCTTCTGCCTCTCTGTGTCTCTCATGAATAAATAAAATCTTAAAAAAAAAAAAAAGTTAAAACCAGCCGATATTAAAGTAGCTACTGGGGGGGCCGCACCTCCTCTAATATTGTGTACATTTTCATTTAATCCTCCCATCAATTTGACTACCTTCCTTACTGGACCTTGCGGCTTAAAAATGAAGTTGCTTCCCACTCTATGTGGGTTACAGTCTTTACTTGGACTTCAGCACCCTTAACACTGATCTTACTCTTTGTATCCTATACTTTTCTTACATTAACCTTCCATTCATCCCGGTATGACACCTCATCTTCAATGGAGCATAAACAGCCTCTGATGAAACATTTCTTTTCTGAAATTTTCTCCTAATTCACGTAACACCATCATACAGTTTTAAATTTTTTTTTTAATTTTTATTTACTTATGATAGTCACACAGAATGAGAGAGAGAGGCAGAGACACAGGCAGAGGGAGAAGCAGGCTCCATGCACCGGGAGCCCGACGTGGGATTCGATCCCGGGTCTCCAGGATCGTGCCCTGGGCCAAAGGCAGGCGCTAAACTGCTGCGCCACCCAGGGATCCCCATCATACAGTTTTAAATTTTAAAAAAGATGTATTTATTTTAGAGGGAGGGAATGTGGGCAGGGGGAGGGGCAGAGAGAAACTCAAGCAGACTCCCCACTGAGCACAGAGCCTGTCTCAGGGCTCAATCTTACCACACTGAGATCACTACCTGAGCTGAGACCAAGAGTCAGACACCCAACCAAGCAAGGCAGGAGCCCCACCATCATATAGTTTAACAGGAAGAATGTCACAAAGTTTGGCCTGTAGCATTATAGAGCTCCTATTCTCTTCTTCCAGTTTCAGCTAGCATGTCCCAGGACCAGTGGCACAAAGGTGCTGTCTGGTTTTATTTTTATTTTTATTTAAATATTGTATTTATTTATGAGAGAGACAGAGAGAGAGAGGCAAAGACACAGGCAGAGGGAGAAGCAGGCTCCATGCAGGGAGCCCGACGTGGGACTCAATCCCAGGATCCTGGGATCACGACCTGGGCTAAAGTTGGTGCTAAACCTCTGAGTCACCCAGGGGCCCCTGCTGTCTGGTTTTAGATACTAAGTGAGAAGTACAAGGTCCTGGATATCTTGGGCAGGGTGGGGGGCTGTGGGGGAGGAAGTTCATCATGATTTTGTTAAGGAAAAAAAGACTGGAACAGAATATACCAGAGTCTTTTAAGAAAAATTACCTGTTAGTGTTGTGATTATAAATAAAGTTTTCATCTTTATATTCATCTGAATTTTCATATTCTCTATAAGACATAACATACTCTTCAAAATCAGAAAATAGCCTTCAGCAGGAACAAAATATTAGCCTGCTTTAGTGAGTACATGCATCCTAGGGTTTTCAGCCATTTCTTTGGCTTCAGTCCAACCCTCCTTTCCCAACAGCACCTACTCTTCACAGTACAGATAGTGAAAGTCATGAACAGCCCAGAGTGAGGCCACCAGGGATTTCAGAGTGGTAGCAGTACGTGTAACCCCTAGCAAGGGCAGAGGGAGTTATGACCCACCAGGATGAGAACCCTCTGATTCCCACACAACACGGACCTCAGGAGATGCACTCGATTGGGGCTTAGTTGAACAGCTTTTTACTTCATCCTTTCTCATGGCTGCTAGGGTAGAAACACCACATTTCCCCTAGATACCACATTTATTTTTCTAGTTCATTCCTGTGATTTTCATCCCCGGGCCTGAATTCTCAAGGACTAATGCCCAGTTATTTTGAATACATTGTTCAAGGAACAGGTCCAGTACTTGCAGACTAGGCCTCTAGACATCCATCATTGAAGGCAGGCTCTCACCTCAGAAACCTGTGCAGAAGGAAGTCCCCAAATCGTGAGAAACTGAAGATCTTTTTTTGAGAGGCAGCTGTAAATATGAGGAATTTTATTTTATTTTTTGCTGACATACTATGAGGCAAAACAAAATTGACACCATACAAAATAACTTTATAAAATATCATTCACATATTTTATCAGATTTACAGCATTCTGTGCATGTTAAGTATGTAAGGAGGTGAAAAAACACTATGCCAAACTTTAGTATTAGTTTATATACACACAGTAAGAAACAAAACAAGTAACTGTTAGGTTTTCCATGAATTTATTGCAAAAATAGTGCAAACTACTTAACCTAGTAAGCTGTAAAACAAACTCGAAAGGACCCAGCTAAGCTTAAACACGACAATAGATGCTCAGTGTCTCAGCCTTTAGCTCACTTCACCAGTTTATCTTTTGTCAATCCAGACCACTCCCCATCTGTTGGGTGAGGGTGAGTGCTGGGGATGGAGAAACGCAAAGACTGGCTCTTCAGAGACCACAGCCATCCGGCTGCCTGATGCCAGCAATTCCTTTAGGATCATGCTACTTGCTCAATGGCAATTCTGTGAGGTCTGGGTTGAAAACATTTAGATGCCATCACGTCTAAGTCTAACCTTAGGAAGAAGTTCTCCAACCTCTTGATGACATGGAGAAAAGAATTAAGAAAGCAGCATGAACAGAAAGGACTGGGAACATTATTGTCTGCTTGCACACATGATACCCTTTTGCTTAGGTATATTTGGGTAAAGTAATATTCTACTGGTGGGCAACCTTTGAACCAGATACTGAAGTTAAAAAGACAAAAACAAAGGATACTGTATCCTGACAAGAGTAACTTTAAGATTTCTTCCAACAGTCTTTTGGGGTCCAAAAAGCATAGCTCTAAAAACAAAATAATAAGAGCAAAACAAAATGCTACATATAAAAGCTAAAGAAACAAAATGCAGCATATTCAGGTTCTTTTTCTTGAGGTACCTATATAAATTTAATCACCTGCCCCAAAGTACTCTTGTTAGGTCAAAGAACAAAATGCTGACTGGTGAGCCAATTGCGGGGCATTCATCACTACTGAGAAAGTGCAACAATGCCGATCTGTATATGCAGCATACTAACGGGGGGAGCGACTCTTTACAAAATAGAGCTGAAGTACTGACCTGATGGACGCTTAACAATGAAAACACTTAACTAGAATCATCCCATTTTTTTGAGATCCTGCAGCAAAAAGCCTCCCAAGTCAACTTTCAAAGTTTTGCCACTAAGGAATGTTGGTTCTCTTGTAAAATTCAGAGATCTCTTTAAAATAGTAAAACTATATACTACAGGAAAGATCCCTAATTTTTATTTCTTATTGGTATAAAATCAAATTCTTAAGACTCCAAAATATTGTGTTACCTCCAAAGAATTAAGTTAAAAAAGATCACCATAGTAGGAAAAGTCTAGAATTGTAAACTGCCAAATATAAAAGCATGGAAAGTCATCAATCTCCTACCTTAGTTTCTCACCTGCCAGAAAGCTTGCCTAACTCGCGGTGACCCAGGGCCTGCTGCTGAGTGCAGGCCTCCCCCCTCTCCAGCCGGCTCCTGCACTCCCCCTTCCCTCCGGCTGCCCACGGTCACCAGCACCTCCACCAGGACAGATGGAATCAACCACAGTCCACTGGCTGCACATGAGATGAATGTACCAAATACGCCAGAGGAGAAGGGGAGCACGGATGGCGAAACAAGAAGAGTACACGTGAGTTTCTGGGCTGCCCCTTCATTGGCACAGAAAATGAAGAGAGCTGTCAGTATATGCATAGAAGAGCTTGGAATTTGCTTGTAAAATGTTAATTTGCTCTTGGACATCCTTTTTTCCTTTTCACAAGAGGGCAGTTGGGATTTCAATACATATAACTAGTTGGCTGGGGGTAATCTATCAAATTCCATGGCCAATTGGGCTTTTTCTCCCCACCTGCAATATAAAATATTTCATTTCATGCTGATTTTTTTTTCAATGCATTAGGACTCAACACAAAAGGCACAAAATAAATAAAAATATTATTAAATAAACGGAAATTATGATTTCAAGCTTTGTGTGGAGTTACATCTTGCTGTTTGGTTACTTTTTTCCAATTTAATTTGACAGACTTAGTAAATAGCACCCAACTGTTTAACTGAGGTAGATCCACATTGTAAAGAAAGCTGGGTCCCCTCCATTTCATGTTTCAATTTAAGATGCTTTTACAGAAACAAAAATCCATATAATCCTATGCAGAAGCAATGGCAGGTGGCACTACCTGAAGAAAGCTTAGAACGTGAGCAGGTCAGCAATTAAGATTTATGCCCAAATCATACTCTCCATCAGCCATAAATAAATCTCAGACTGGAGGGAAAAAAAAACCAAACATTTAAAAGTAACCCTGAAAAAGTCTCTAGACTTTCAGAACAGGTCTTCTTGACTGCCACAGAAATGCACAATGGTCCATTTTCATCAAGCAATGGCAACAGCCAAGCCAGACCAGAGAGAGAGAGAGAGAGAGAGATCTGGATCACTGCAAATTTCCCTTTGTAACTCTGGAGAAAAGACTGGTTGAATTATGATATAGCATCTTGATCTGAACAGTTTAAACTCACTGCCTAATATTTTTGCATACTCTGAAACTTACAATTTTAACATCTGATTAAGGCTTGATTTAAAGTGGCATTACCACCTAGCGTCATGCAAGCATTGGACATCCTCAAAACACACGGAATGGTATGAAACGAGACAAGGACGTGAAGCCTCAGAAGTGTACTTAGCAGGTACGATAATTTTATAACGAATTTTACAATTCATGTAGCAAATGAGAAATTATACAGAGAGGCCAATGTATATAAATACTAGTTTATACAGGAACTTTCAATTTACAAAACAGCACTGCACGGTTTCTCTACTGCAAGCACACGATGCCGTCACAGAGATACCCCCCCCCCGCCCCCCGCCGCCCTGCACGGCTCTGAACGAGCCCGCAGATAGTTCGCAGAGTACCACCTGCAGGACGCCCGTGTAGCTGCTCGGCTTCTTAGAAAACACTACACTCGCAATGGTCACAATACATGTTGATTCAAAATCTCTTCCAAAATGTTTCTTTGTGGGGGAAATGAAGAACGGGCAAGATCCACCTAAGGAACTTCTGAATTCATTTTTGGTTCTTTTTCAATTATTTTATAAAAATAAAATAAAACTAGAAAAGTTGATAAAACTCAGGGTTAAAAGCCCTCAATACGTATTAGGTAAGTAATCTGAAGTGTACCAGAGGTAAGACAAATCTGCATGTAGACACTACATTCTTTTCTTGTATTTAATGAGTAATTAGCCACTTTGCTGCACAGAAACTTACAATTATTCTCTTAAAACTTCTTAAGTAAAAACTCACTTGCCTCTACAGTTATAAAACATGAATTCATACCTTCAACAGCTACATTAAAATCCACTATCAAACTCAGGATTCAAATTTCAGTTTAGTGCTAAACTATATACTTTCAGGATTTCAGTCATGTGTATATTTGGCTTTGAAGAGGAACCAAAATTATTAATGTAGCATCCCCTCTGCAGCCAGCACCTCTGCCGAGGGAACAACCATGCCTTTCAAAATGAGGGTTTGGTAGAAGGAAGGAAGGGCCAAGAGGAGCCGCCAAGAATGAGTTTCTATGCGTTTTAAAAATAAATAACATTGGATTATTTCCCCCACTTAAAAGCAATAAAATCATCCCTTAACAGGGACATCCCTTGACCCTCAACAGGGTTAAGGTGTTTTTTAATTAGACCATCAGCCAAGAAACTGCTCAATACCTGGCTTGGAAAAGTTCGAGATAAAAAAATGTATTTTAGGCATGTCAGAACCGGGAGTCCTCTATGCACGGCTCACCCAAGTCAGCAGCTTCCCTGCACACCGCAAAACAGAGCCACACAAACGGAAAAGCATCCCAAAGTAAGGACAGTAGGACTGAGTAGCACCTTACGTCTGAGGGCTTCACACGCAATTCACAGAGACACGATTCCAATTCTCATTCTAAAAATCTAGTTCTGTTACACTAAATATGCTTGTTGAGTGACTCTGAGGACAAAACCACTGGGTTGTGTTGATGGCCGCCGCCAAGGCCTAAGAGATGGATCTTGCGCTGATTTCCTGGAATTCCAGCAGACGTGGACTTGGGAAGGAATTCCTTCAACTATGAGAACATAACGTTTTCTGACACGAGACAGTGTGCATGGGCATCACAGTTTACAGAGTCAGGAGCTGAGGAGCAGATGCAGCTTAGAAGGCAGAAGGTCAATGATTGACTTGTGGAATGGTACAGGCTTACTTCCCAATAAAAATGCAGCCCCAATATGATTGAGAAAGGACACTGAGGACCGGACTTTAAAGGCACAGCGGCTGAGACCGGGTCTTCCAGAACACGCTCAGTCTGGTACCAAAGGAGACCAGAGGAAAGCCTGGTACCACCTGCTTCCTGGGTCAGAGGGACCTGCCCTCTCCCACCCCCCGAGATTGTTCCCACAGTCTCTAGAGTTCCAAGGAGCCTTGGCTCCCCAACACAAGCACCTAGTTCTGCCAAGTGGTGCCAAGGAGCCAAGCATCAGCCTGCAGCACACCCCCTGGCCTGGTTGTGTGGGGTGTTCTTGGGTTCAACTCATGGTTTTAAGGACCTTGATTCAGAAGCTACTTAATGAGGGTGGCCTCAACATCTAGTTCCTGGAGACACTTGAGGGGCAAGAGTTAGTATTTGGTGTTTTAGCTTTAACTCTGAACTACTGAAATCCAAAGAGGTCGTAAATAGAAGATAATTCAGCCTCTTGCCACCCCCCAGAAAGGGGATGGGAGTGAGTTGAGGATTCAACTCTTCTGCATACCACCAAGGGCGTTGAAAGATGTTAACACATCGAAATTTTTCACATTGACCAATAAGAGAAAAGTGTTAACAAAAGCACCAGTAATCTTCGGTTCCCTCTTTTAAAATAACCTTTCATGAATGCGAAGATGGCGGGAGAGGCCCACCCCAGGATTCTGGAGATCTGTAACGCAAAAAGCTGATGGGTGGGTCTGAGTTCAACAGTTCACATTACTGAATCAAGGAGGGGGCTGCTGTGCAGTGTCCCCCAAAACACCCAGAACGGGATCCTAGTTGAAAATGAGGCCAACTCAGAGCACCCAAGCAAGTTCCAGAAGCAGGTCAGCAGACATTGTGGGTTACCCACCCTACACATCCATGCATCTTGGGGTGGGCTCTATCTACAAAACAGTGTAATTGCAGAAGTACAAAACATTCTTAGAAAGACTGCAAAGGACACTTAGCTCTTTCAGAATTAAAGCATGTCATGTAGCATGAAAAGCATCAAAACCCAAAACAACAGTGCTAAAGGCAAAAATTTCCAGGTAACATTGTATTTGGAACCTCTCTGGGCCAAAGTCAGTGTCTGAGGGGTGTCCGGTAAGAGGGCAGAGCAACCTCCACACAACCAGACATCTGTAACTGCAAAACCACCTGCCTGTCCCTCAAGAATATAAGAGCAAACCAATGGAGGTGTCTTGGAGCAGATAGGAACCATTCCAAAGACGAGACAATGTAGAGAACGTAAAACAAGATCCGAAGAAGGCAGAGGATGACACCGACTGACCCACAGTGTGTGGGCAAAGGACATTCTGACAGCAAAGTGGTTAATCACAGGAGGGGTACTCAGAACGGTAACAAACTCCCTCAGGACAGACTGCCCATAAGTTAGCGTCAGGGGATCCAGGGTGCTGGCAGCAGGAACTCCTACTTCAAGATGCTGGCTGTGGACTCTGTGTCCACAACAGAGGGCCTTGGACTTGAACGGAACATTTTGCTTTTAAACTGTAGATCATGTTTATTAAGTAGGGAGTGATGGTAACTCAAGGTTCCAAAGTCAAAGGTCAACTATAACTGCATGGTTTTTTGAAACCATACAGCAGCTTTAGATGTATTATTTGCACGAGAGTCGGTGTTTCAGCACCTTCGTGATTTTACAGAGTGTACAAAAAGGGAGAAGAGAGCAGAGGGAGCCATTTTCAACCCATTCATAAGTAACACAGAGAAGAAAGTGCTTTCTTACAGCAAATAGGAAAGTGAAAATCCAGGACAACAGGCCGTTTCAAGGTTTCACCACCCACGGCCCTGCGTGGAGATGTTCCCGCCAGCCTGTGAGGACGGTGCGGAAAGCTTTTCCATTTTATTCACGCTGGCTGCGTAGAACCCTAGATTATTGAGGTGGGCAGCCCTGAGGAGTCCCCGGTCCACCTCTGATGCCTCCGAGGGGGAGGAGGGGACTGCCCATGGGTCACAGTATGGCACACACATTTTCAAGCCAGAACTAAAGAGAGAGATGTTCACAATTCAGTTTATTCAGGCAACGTTTTGGCTTTTTTCAGTGTGGATAGCTACGCTTAAGAGCAAACATGAACCTATTGAGAATTCAGAGGTAGCCTTTATCTGCATTTATTTTTATTTTTTTTAAACTAAAAGGTATTTAGAAACCACCTTCTGTAGTGATTTGGCTAAGCCAATACATTCACTTTAGACAATAAAATGGCAAAACATAACCAAAAAAGCATTAGGGAGGGCACCACGATGGCATCGACGCTACGTGAACACACACTCATGACTGGTTTGGGTCTAAAAGCTCCTTTGTGTGTCTGATACCGGGTAGCCTGACCACAAACAATCATACACCGTGCGCCGGAGCACACACTTCTAATCTAGCAAAAATCACAAGCCATAAAGGAACAGCACTGGATTCCAGGTCTCTCTAGCATCTATGCGTTAAGCCGCAAATGACAGTTTTGACACAACAGTGATCTCATGGCTTCAAAATGATGGCTGACCAAAGAGAGGCGAGGGAGGCCCTTGCTTAGTGGTCTATTCACATTGGCCACACAGATGCTTCCTATCCAGACTGTCAGATGCTGGATGGAACTGGAAGAAAATGCTTTCAGGAGCCACAGGAAACAGCAAGGAATTAGACTGAAAAAAGTGTTCAAAGGATTTATAATCAATCCTCTTAAAATCAAACCTTCAGACCTCCAGGGGAGAGGACTCTCCTTTCTATAGATTGCAAAAAACTTACTTTCTGAAAAACAAGAACACGAGGCTAATTTGTCCTTCATGAATGGTCAACAGACACAAGGCTACAGAGGCAGAGCGAGGTCCACGCAGCTCTAACACATAATACTGAAAACATAGCAGTCCCCTACAATGTAGCGACGTGTTGTGTTCATATCATTTTTGCTAACCTAAATCTATTTACAATCATTTCAAACAAGTACAGCAGATGCAAAGTTGGACACAATAAAAAGGAAGTTGTCAAAAAATCAGTGCAATTATTTTGAGTTGAAAATTTTCCTTACAAAAGAGTCAGCATGTGTGTATAACACAGACAGCCCCATCACAAAGTCACACGTGCACCGGGACTACACTGAAAACATGTCACGGCGGCCGAGCCTGCAGGCAGGGCAGCTAGAAAGAATCTTCTTGGTTACTTTGGGGAAGGGCTTAAAATATAAATAAAATATTTGCATTCTGAAAGTGAGGCGCACAAACACTGAGGAAGTTTCTGTTTATTGTACATTCCTTTCTCATGAGAGTGAGAGATGAGTCAGAGAGGTCACAGGGAGATTTCTATGGCTTGTCTGGGCCACTGGGATTGTCCACTGTCTGGATTATGTCAACTTCTAAAGCTCCTCCTAATGGAACTGCCTTAGGTGTAGGAAAATGCCCATGAAAAATCCTTTTAACTGTCCACCAGATCAAAGTCCCGTTGAAGGAGTACATCCAGATCCTGACGGCTCCACGAAACAAGCCAAGTGCTTCCATGACGACGAGCAACCGAGAGAAGCCGTCCCAGCCCCCCAGGCCCCCTAGAGACAGTCTGGTGTCCCAACTGCAGGACGCTTGGCTGGTCTACCCTTAACATATTGTATCAAATATATAATTTGACTGAAAAACTGCCTTGTAAAAATAAAATTTAAATCACCCTGCAGATCAATGTAAAATTACATTGCTGCATATATAAGAAAAACAATTCATCCAGAAAAATTACATTTGTGGCTTTCAAAAATAAATCATCCGGCAAACTTGCAGGTAAACATTAGGCAATTTATAAAAGTTGGGGAAAATAATTTCTATCATATCCATCAGGTACCACATGCACTGGGATATATCCACATCGGCCAAATCGAACCAGAACAGAAAGAAAAAAATAAATAGCAACATTTGCATTTTAACAACAATAAAAATAATATATAATATAACATCAGTAAAACCACCCCCCAACCCTGCTGTAGGAACTGAGCTCAAACTGTCTTCCAATGAGCACTCTGTAACCAGGGGTAAACATCAGTAATGGCAGTGACCACGGCCAGCCTCAAAGAGCACAGACGTCACTCTGTCCCCACTGCGGCCCTCTCAGGCAAGCCCGCCCAGTGGCCAGGGGTCGCCGGCGGTTCTAGAGTGTGGACATTCATCCAAGGGAGTGTAAGACCACTACCAACAAGCAACATCAACTTAAAAAATAAAAGCAGACCCTACAATGTTGTATCAAAAGTGTCTAAGGGGAGACTTCTCAAAACCCAAACCAAACCAAACAATCCCTTTCTAGAAGTACGAGTACGCCTAGTTTTACAAAAATGTATCTGAACTAGGAAAGTCTGAGCATGTCGAACACAAAGAGGATAGAATCTCAGCGGCACCGTCCTCGGCTCCCCTGGGCTTCCTTCATTGCTTTGTCACTAGGGCGACAGCGGGGCGAACAGGACAGACGGTGGTGAAGGGATGGGAGCGGTCATTCTTCTTAAAGTGAACATTTTAACATCTACTAGGAAGAGTACCAGTATAAGAATCTAATCAGACCTCTTTTAAAGAGACGAGATAAATCCCAGTTTTTCTTTTAAATGAATCCAGATTTCTACATCATAATTTTCACATTCAGTTTGCTTAAAGCAAGGCACACCTTACTTAACAGTGGGGTGGGGCAAAGCCAGCGCACAGACACCTCTCAAATCTGCATGCACCCCAAGCCTCCGGGTGGCTAGATGCAGGCAGAGGGTGGAGCTACCCTGGGAGCCCTCTTGGGGTCACGGGGCGGGGGGGGCAGAGGTAGCCCGGGCGGGGGTGCAAGCACAGTCAGAGACAGCAAGGGCCCCTTTTGGCTTCCATGTGAACAGGGCTCAGACTTAGTCTACAGGACTTTGAGGTTTTACGCTGTCTCAAAATTTATCCTAATAATGGGGGGATTGGTAGAAATTTGGGAAAACAATTATTTACCTGAGAAATTGTAACTACAGCCATTTGAATTCTGAATCATCCGTCAGATGTGTACAAAGGTATGCAGCTAACCTCGCTGGAGATGTTTGGTCTATTAATGCTTTTAGTATTAAAAGTTTTATAAAACAAGCATAGGGCTATAAAAAGTACCCTTCTCAAAGTACTTTGGCCCACTAAAAGGAAAACCTTTCCTTCAAAATGATTTAAAAAAAACAACAAGACATTTAGGTCTAACTTTCCACTGGCCTGCGGTCTTTCCTAGGTTAGCTCAGTGAGTACCTGCCTGTGCTGCCGCCAAAGGGCTCCTCCTCCGCTGGGCCCTCGGTGCTCGAGGGAGAGCACTCCTCAGAAAGCTCTAGATCAGGGGTCCTGACTTTAGGCAGCCCTGGAACCTCAGTCAATGGTATAAAATACAGATGCCCAGCCCCGGCTCTGGAGAATCGGATTCAGGAGTCTGCATTTTTACCAAGCACCACCACTGCCCTGACCACCAGGACCCTGCTGCAGGTAGTAGAAACACACCTTTGAGACACATGGTTCTAGATGATCCTCAAAATGGCTGAAAACTAACCTAATTTCAGATTTCAAAAGTGTGTAAGTGAAAAGATTCCCTCCTTAAGCTTGAATGCTCCTGGTAATTTCAGCCAAGAGTGTATTGGTATCCTTCTGAAAATAGGAGAAAGTGCCACTTGCCAATAAAACGACAGGGAATTGCAACATTTCTTAGAGCAGAGGCTTCTGTTCGTTTAAAAAGACCAAAAACAAAACAAAACAAAACAAAAAAAACACCCAACAAACAAACCCCCAAACAAAAAAGATACAGCAAGAAGAGGCTAATGCCATTAATAAGACACCCACATGCACACACGGACACACACACGCACACACCACTCTGAGTATATATCTTCACAAATAATAGTCTCCCCTTTGTCATTGCCGCCGAAATCTAGGCCGAGTGTCCATTACAGCTCCGCCCGCGGCTCCCCTGCCCCCCCGGCACCCGCCCAGCACCCCAGGGCCGCGGGCGACACACAGGGGGGGCGCCTTCTCCGCCACAGTGCCAGAGGTAAGCGTCAGGCTGGGCTTGGGGGGCCGGTAGCAAGCAGAGGGAGGCCGACAGAGCACAAAGCAGCACTAGGGGAAGGCCCGTCTCCTCCCCTGAATCTCTACACTGAAAGTGGATTTGATTTTTTTTTTTCTTTTTAAATTGTCTAAAAGGACAAACAGCCCACTTAGCACAGAGTTGTCCGCTGTTACCCTTTTCAAGTTGTCCATGGTTATCACTCTTAGTGCAATGGTTTCTAGCCAGGCAAACCCACGCGCGGGGACCAGGACGCGAGGCTCTTCTGCTGGCGCGGCAGCGGCCACCGAGGGCAGGGCTCGCCGGGCCCCGCGCCCACGGGGCGCCTCTGCCCACGGCTCTCTGCGCGCTTCAGTGCATAGGTCCTACGGAACTCGTCTAACAGAACCGGACTGAGAGAGGGACACTGGGACACATGGACTTGTTTCCCAGGAATGGAAGAATAAATACATTCCATTTGTGCTTAATCGGCCGAGCAATGCACGGGGGGCAGGACGTGGGGTGGCGGCGAGTGGCCGCCGGGCCCGCGCTCGGTCCCCCCGAAGGTACAGGCTACGCAATCTACGCGGGGGGGGAGGCGGGTGGCGGTCACATTGACTCAATTGCATACTCCTGTACGTAAGCACTGAGAACCACAGGAGGTGGTCCAGTCTCCAGAACACTCTTGATATGCGAAACAGATCACAATAAGCACCCCGAAGTCAATAAAATGAAAAAACAGCATCTATCTATCACATTAATACTGCAAACCAGATATATATATTTTTTTCTCTTACATTAAAGACATAACAGTGAAAAAGGATTGTACTGTTTTTATCACCACAGACCCGTATTCTTTAGAAACTTTGGAAAATAAATGTCACAGTCCTATAGGACAAATCTTATGATTAGACTGTCGGCATATTGTCTTTTTTCTTTTTTTTTTTTAAATAAATTTTTATTAAAATGGCACTTGTCTGCCAATCTCTCTGGACCTATAAATGTTGTAAACACACATGGCCCATCCTCTGCCCCCGCTCCTTATTTCAAGCTGAGTGAAAGGCGGGCAGTGGCAGGACAAGACACCCGTGGGCGCCTCGGCGGGCCACCTGCCCCAGGTCCTGAAGAGCTTGCGTCAGCCCTGTCAGGAGCACACTAGTATCACTCTGACATAAAACTTTAGTGACCACCTCAGAATGCTCAAGGCTTTAAAACCACAGCCACGATCTGCGTTGCTTTCACTCTCTGAGAACGTTCACAGCTAGTTTGAGCCCACCAATTTCATAGAGAATCATGTGTTAAAAACAAGTAAATTGAATGACCAAATAAATTAAAAATGTTTTAAAGCCCTGAGTTCATAGACTGGTTTTAGGAGATTTTTAGGAAACACGGGACTCTATTTTAATAAGCAGCTTATAGATTTTGGCAAACCATATTTCCTACGACAATGGGGTCTCATACAGGTCTGCAGTTCAAAATCCAAGTTTGAAATCTGGGACGGAAGGCATTCTGGAAAATGGAGAATCTACTAAAATCAATGACGTCTCATGTTCGATGCTGGCTGTCACGGAAGGGCTGGGCATCTGTTGGTCTGAGTGTAGCTGGTCTCATGTGAATCCAACTTGGTACACAATCGTAAACACTAAAACACGTCAAGCAAAGTACATGGTGCGCAGCGTGTCCTGATGAACCTGGACTGCCTTTGCCAACGCTTGATGGTCTCGTCCATTACTCTGCCCGGAGGTATGGCTTCCTTCGGCACTGCGGGGATGGGAGGAGAGAGAGAGCGTGCAGCCTTTAATGCACCACGAGGCAGCGTGCGGGTAACTAGGTAAGACTATGCACCAGACGTCTGGGGAGGTGGCCACGCGGCTACCGGGCGACAGTGTCGGTGCTGGCCTCCGGATGTCTGTGTCACAGTCGGCTCCAGCCACAGGGGCCCCACTGCTTCCCGGTCTGAACACGGAGCTGCTAAAGCGTGTTGCAGAAGCAACCCCTGCCGTGACCCCAGCCAGTCTGAAAGGCACACCACTCACCTGTCATGTTCTTTGTCCACCAGGTGGTACCTGGCCCGGAAGGCCACCAGGTGGGCATAGTATGCTGGCGCCGGGATGGACACAGAGCGCGTGCAGCGCACATAGGTGTGACACAGCTGGTAGGTGAGAATCTGCAGCTCATCGGAAGAGAAACGATTGTCATCCCAAAGCACGTGATAGTGGGAAGGCCTGCTTGTTCCCTAAAAGCAGATCAGAGGATCAGAGGAGTCAATGTGCGAGTGAGGAAGTCCAGAACTCACCTACGCGAGGGCACTGCTGAGAAAAGCCAGGCTTTGGTCACAGTGGGCTATGCAACCTCCGTACAGAGGACACAGTGGGACGACTCCTAGGGACAAAACACTGTGGGCCCCTCACCAACAGAGACCTTCCCTGTACATCCTGCAAAGGCGTGTGGCCGGGGACAAGGCTGTGGCCCACGAAGTGGGAAGGAGTGGACCCTGAGTCAGCACCTCCGTCACCTGCTGCCCTTCCCATAGCAGCCCCAGGGGCCCTGTCACCGCTCACATCTCTGCTAGCTCGCTGGTCACCGGGCTCCAGGTGCACGGGACACCTCTTGCACCCCACCAGCGCACCTGGCCTCTGCCCCAGCTACTTCTGCCTGACTTCATCTCATCTAAAATGGGAACCCCGACCACAGCATGCCAGTGGGTCCCTGCTCCCCAGCACCCACGGTCCCAAGCTGCACCTGTTCACTGGCCACCTGCCCAAGTGCCTTGGGGACAGGCTGGGGCCCCAGCCCTGGTTCCCCTAGTGTGCCCCCAGTGCCCGCTGGCGTCTGTGCTCAGAGACACCAAGAACGTGCGGAGGGCCCCCCCCGCCCCCCCCCCCCCGTCCTTACCTGGATGCCAGCGTGACTACACAGGTAGAAGTCAAACTCGGTCGGGTGGGTGATTTTCGTGTCCACAGTTGTGCCTGCTGGAATGTTTCCACTTTTCCCGACCTTCGGCAACACAGGAGCCCATTAGACACGGGGCAGCAAGATAAAGCTAGCAATTCCACCTCACCCACACTGCCTTCCGCTGCCGGCCCTTCCTGACCGCAGGCTGCCCGATTTTGCAGTCTACACCGGCTAACGCATTGGCTCAGCGCTACAAAACTAAGATAAAATTTAACAAACGCTATTAGAAGTAAGTTCCTGTCCCGTGATGGCTGGGGCTATTTTCCCCGTCTCGTCAAGGCCCAGAAGAGAATCGTAGTTGTCTGCCCTTCACTGAGAATCTGTGTGTAACGCTTGAAGAACTCCCCGTGACTGCTGAGGTCACCGACACACAAATCTAAAACTATGCACAATGGACACCTGAAAGGTCATCAGCTGTGCACAAACACACCTGCTGTTCAAGGCACAAAAGCTAGAAAACCCTGAAAGCTGTCAGGAGCTCTTGCGCCTTGTGGGTGGCTTCATCACCACCACCCAAGAGGGCATGCTTTTCCCCTAGAGACCATCGGAGAAGCAGGGGTACAGACTGGGCTGCGAATTATATCCAACCACTTCACTCTAGGCTCACATTCTAGGATGACAAAGCCAGCGGACACCCCACTACTACCACTGGGGAGCAACAACGCCAAAGCTCTAGAGCCCAACCTATTTTTAGTAAATCACTAGCTTTTTAGTTATACAATTTTCAAACACAAACAAAAGAGAAAATCCCCGGTATAATCCCTGTGCCCCTTTGGGTGTGTATTTTACTTCTTGCCAACCTTTTTCACACCTTCTGATTTTTTTTTAAGTAAAATATTTGAAAATAGTGCCTCCCTCTGCTTCCCTCCTATGTTGCAGTCTCAGATTTAGACTTTATCATTCCTACACGTGCTTTTATTTTTCATTGCATTTTGAAGTTTCCCTTAGCGCTACCTGGTGTTACTTCCCAGGTTTTAAAGTTGTGTACGTGTGTCACATATGTTCTGCTACCTGCCAGTTTTGTTCAATATTTACAATTTTGAGATGTATTCATGTGATACACACAGTCTATCATATTCATTGCCGTGTAACATGTCAGTATATGAACATATCACAACCCCTTCTGTTAGCAGATAAAGTTTTTGCTATCAAAAACAATACTGCAAAAGCTTTAAAAAAAAAAAAAGGGACGCCTGGGTGGCTCAGTGGTTGGGCATCTGCTTTCAGCTCAGGGTGTGATCCCGGGGTCCTGGGATTGAGTCCCGCATTGGGCTCCTCACAGGGAGCCTGCTTCTCCCTCTGCCTATGTCTCTGCCTCTCTCCTTCTGTGCCTTTCAGGAATAAATAAAATCTTAAAAAAATAAAAGAAACAATGGTGCAATAAATATTCTTATGCATGTGTCCTTCTACATAGGCAGGCAGGTTTCTCCAGGGCTAGAATTACCAAACGCCATCCAAGGTGACTTATTAGTCTCCACTCCATTGAAAGTGTGGGAGAGTCTTCATAATAATGCTTTTGCCCTATGCCAAGGACAATGCCGAGAGCTTAGTGTGTTAGCCCAGCTAACCTTCCTGACATCCCGAGGAAGGTGTTCCGGGGGGCTGACACCTGTGGTTATGCAGCCTGGATGCTGAGGGGTGCACAGCCAGGCTGTCCGGCTCCAGACTGTGCTCCTGACCATGTCACAATGCCCACACCCTTGTCAAAACTTGTTATTAATAGGATAACTTTGAGTCCCCCCCCCCGACATTTCCCATTTTCTGAAAAATTTTGCTTAAGATTATCCTTTGAAGGTTTTGTAAAACTGATCTATAGAAAAAAATCTAGATAAGCTTCATAAAAAAAACTAAGTAGTTTCCTCTTTTATTCCTATTCTCTGCCACACTTTAAGATCATGTCTTCTTGGGGATGCCTGGGTAGTTCAGTGGTTGAGCATGTGCCTTTGGCTCAGGTACTGATTCCGGGGTCCTGGGATCAAGTCCTGCATTGAGCTCCTCAGAGGGAGCCTGCTTCTCCCTCTGCCTGTGTCTCTGCCTCTCTCTGTGTCTCTCATGAATAAATAAAATCTTTTTAAAAAAGGAAAAGATCATGTCTTCTTGAAGGTTTGGCCAAAGTTGCCTGTAAAACTCTCTGGGCCTGATGCCTTTGGGAAACAATGACTGGATTATCCTGTGGAGCTGGTCTCAGTAATTTATGTGATTCCACAAACAACTGTTTGTATCTATTTCTTCTGACTTTTCTAATGTATCTATCAGTGTAAACCTGTTACTATCCCATGATTACTGGAGAAACACATCTCCCTCTGGGGTCACGGTTCTCTTTTTGCTCTTAATATTGTTATAAGTAACCTTTTTTCCCCCTTGTTGACTCTTGCTAAGTTTATCCATCTTCAAAGAAGATTTTGTTTGTGTTAATCTACTCTTCTTCTTCATCTTTTCCTTCATTATCTCACATTTCGGGAGGGGGTGGGAGGGGCTGGGTAGGAACAAGTGACTTTGAGCCCAGTGACTCCAGATGGGGGTGGGGTGGGGTGGTGGTGGCAGTGGTCGGGGGGCTGGGCAGGGAGGGAGCCTTCCCTCCTGCCTCTTATGTTCTTGCTGCACATTCTGGCACTTGATGGTTCTCTTCCTTATTTTCCCACGGATATATCTAAGTCTATTCTCTTCAAGAACTGCTTCAGCTACACTGCATAAAGTCTGAAGTGAGATTCTCTTGTTTTTCTTCAGTTCTGATTACTTTGTAATTTTTATTCCCTTTGCATGTTTAATGCATGTGCTACTTGGAAGTGAATTTAAAATTTCAGGCTTTCTTAAATGTCTTTTTAGTGCTACTGCTGATTGAAAATTTAATTGTATGATTAAAAAAACAAAACAGGGATGCCTGGGTGGCTCAGCAGTTTAGCTCCTGCCTTCGGCCCATGGCCATTTGATCCTGGAGACCCGGGATCAAGTCCCCCATCGGGCTCCCTGCATGGGGCCTACTTCTCCCTCTGCCTGTGTCTCTGCCTCTCTCTCTCTGTCTCTCCTGAATAAATAAAATCTTAAAACAAAACAAAATGTGGTTTGCCCAATACTGTGGATTGGAAATCTCCCGGGAGCTCTTTGTGACCAGGTACAAGGCAACTTTCGTAAGCCGTGCACGTGAAAACTCGACATGAATGGCTGGACTCTAACTCATCTGGCCTGGCCATTTCGCTCTTCCAACTTCTAGCTTTTACTTAGGTGTGTCCGCTCCAGTTTCTGACAGTGGTGTGCTGAAATACCTCTTTGATGGTAGATTTATCAGTTTCTCCTGGAATTGCTACTTTTTCGCTATGTTGTATTTTTTTCCCTCTGTATTTTTAGGTCACTGCATTAGGTAACATCCAAGCCCATGGCTGTCAGATCTTCCTGCTGGGTCATCCCTGTGGCCGGGACAAAGTATCCCTTCCTCTCACTAACAAGCTGTGTTTTGTGTTCCATCTAGACAAGCAGCGTTTCTCCCTTGCTGTGCTTTCTCGCACTGGGGCTACCGAGCAGCTGGGGGGCTGCTGGTTCTCCAGGTCTCTCCCCCTTCTGGGAGCGTCCCTTGTCTAGGCAGCTACCTGACGCTGGGCAGGTGGGGACAGGCGTCCATGTGGAGGTTTATGCTTATTTATCCTGTTGGAAACTACTTTTAACGTGAAGATTCCTACCTTTCTTCAACTGTGGGGCTTTCTCAGCAGCTACATCTACAAACCTTGCTTCTCCCTCCTGCTCGTTCTTATTCTGGGACGCCCGGGACCAGCACCCCGGAGCTGCCCTCAGCACTCCAGCCTCCCCTGAGGGTCCCCAGTTTACTGAATCCCACCTACTGTGCCCACTGCCAGGGGTGCCGTGCCTCTTCCAGAGCCAGCTCTCTGGCGATCACTTTACTGGACACATGGTATCTCCCGCCCGGTCCTGTCCCAGCCCGTGGGACGTAAGGGTCCAATGTTGCACCAGACCGAGGAGGGCCCGTCTCCAGCGCCTACGGCTGGGGCTTCGTGGAGACAGCCCCTCGGAGGACAGGGTCTCCCATGAGCCCCAGGACAGCAGCAGAGCTGGCACCAGCACCTCTGCGGCATGGCTCCGGGCGAGGGCCAAGCAGAGACCCACGTCCTTACGGCCCCAGCCCAGGGCCGACCTCCGGCCCCTCCTTCAGCCTCCGAGCCTCACCCTCTCGTTCTTGTCAGTGCAGAAGAGCCGCGTGTGGTGCCTTTTCTGTACCACTATGAAAGTGATCCCTGGCTGGTAGTCTTTTTCTAGCTTAATACATGCCTCGCGAATGGCCAGTAACTCATGGTGGAGAACCTGAGGGAAAGAAAAGACACACTTAAGGATTATTTCGTTTTTACAGCCTCTTTCTACCTTAAAATAAATCCCTTAATAACATAGGCTATTGGACAAATACTTGCAGATCAGTCTTCTGGCTCCACTAGCTGGTTATTAGCTGTGTGACTCTGCCTTTCTGTATTTGTTTTTTCATTTATATAATTGAGCAGATGAGACCCAGGTTTCATAGTTAAATGGTTTAAATTAGATAGTGCCTAAAATTGTTGAGCACGGTTTCTGGAATGTTCTAAGTGTTCAATAAATGGCACCCACAGTACACAGGAGTAATGAGGCCCAATGCGAGACACACACATGAGAAAATCCATTCAACGGCTTGTTTTCTATACCAGAGAGGAGGGAAAGAACCTCGTGGCATGAACACTGGCTTAGGAGTCAGACCTGAGCTCCAACCCGAGCCCTACTGCCATGCAGCTGTGTGGCTTTGGGAAAAAGCCATGACCCTCTCCGATGCCCAGGGTTTTTTTTTTGCTTTTAAAATGGGAGCATCCAACCTTGCAGGCCTGTTGTGAAAACTAAGGTAACGTAGAGTGCTTGGCACACAAGTACCTGAGAGTCAGGGTACAAAGACGGTACCCTGTTCGTGTCACAGAGAAACAGGCAGACAGCTATCATGCTGTGACGAGGTGAGCACAGGGACCACACACCTCGGATTTTTAACCAATGTCCTAATTAAATACCATGTTATGGTGTTTCCAAAGTATCTTGGGTTCTGGGTTGAGATGCCAGCTGTGGGGTTTCCATAAGACGTGGAGTACGTCACCAAAGCGATAAACACAGAAAGGCACAGACCCCTCTCGGCAGGAATGGCTGGGGGGTGGGGGGTGTTGAGAGGGCTGGGGCCCCAGAGGAGGGGAACATTTTCAACCAAGGGAACCCAAGAGGTTTAATACAAGAGGTGCCTTCAAAGTCGCCGGGCACACAGTGGACTTTGGACCCGAGAGGGGACCTGGAGCTACTGGCCCTGCCTCCCGCAGGGGCTCAACGACGCCCTGGCCAGGAGTGTCGACTGTTCTCCATGCCACCTGAGGGCCTTGGGGGACTGGCTGCTGCTCTACTCTGGACCAGGAAGGTCCAGGCCATCCTGCTTCTGCCTAGTCAGGCAGCCCGGGGCCTCAGAAGCACAGCAGCGCAGCTCTCAGGATGCCTTCCTGCCTGGGTGGCTCTCCCCCAGGAGGGGACACGGGCCCCGCATCCTTTGCCTTCCCTGCTAATGTTTCCCAATGAAGCACGTTGGGATGGATCCGTGTGGGTGGATGCGGGGGTGGAATTAGCTAGGCCCAATGCGGAGGAGACACATTCAGGGCATCCACCTCCCGAGCTCTGGGATGGATTCAGCACCGACTGCAGGTCACAGTGACAGGGAGCTAAGGCAGGTGCTTGGAGGCAGAGCACAGCAACAATCTCCCCATACCTGCTCCCCTGCCTCATCGCTGCCCCCCCCCCGTCTCTGATGGCACCCCTGCCCGTGATCCACACACCACCCAAGATCACATCTGGGGGCCCCCGTCCAGCCGTCCTCCTGACCCCCCATAGCTGTCACCAGGCCTGTGGTCTCCACCCTGCAGCCTGCCTTTCACACTGCACGTTGAGGTGACCCCCCAACACAATGGGGTCCCCACCCACAGATTCCCTGCAGCCAAGCCTCTGGAAGGGCACCTGGTCACGGGACCCACGCTCAATACCCCCGTCCCGCCTCGGCACTGCCGGCCTGGCATCCTCTCCCCAGTCCCCCCTTCCAATGACCTGAAACCGCATCACTGTGTCCGTCGGGTAGCCCAGGAGGCTACCGTGCGGGACAAACGAGGGACTCTAGGGCCTTCTGGGAACAGAAGGAGCAAACCGTGAGGCACCCACCTGCTGAAACTGGCCCTCCGAGACGCCGTCGCGGTAGAAAATGATGCGGGTGGGCTTGAAGCGTGTGGACTTGTAGAACTGGATGAGGAGCTCGCGGACCATGGTGGCCAGGTCCTGGATGATCTCCTGCCGGTGCTGCTGAACCCGCACGGTGGCGCAGTAGCGGTTGGGGTGCGCGTCCATGCTGCCCACGACCTGCGGGACGAGCGGGGGCGTGGTGGGGACTTCTGGAAGCCCCTGCTCTGCGCACTGCACAAGGGCCGGGGGTGGACATGCATCTCCACCCCAACCTGACACCACGGGGAAGCGGCAGTGGCTTGTCGGAGGCGAACCTGCCGCCTCTGCATTTCTTTTAGGTACGTGGGCAACGATGTTTATAAATACATCACAAAGAAAAAAGTTTGCTGAGATCACCTAATAAAAAGTGGGCAATTAGTCTGAACCTGTACTTGGCCTGTGACCAGATGGGACTGAATTCCATCAGCCCCAAGACAGCAATCTGAGGATCCCCTAGTTCTTCCAAAGTGCGTCCCTCGTTCACCCAGACAAGCTGCATGTCGATCACCGTGCACCCCAAGACCCTGAGCCCCAGGAACAACAGAGCACCCCACGGTCAGCTGCCACATAAGCAGTTGCCTGGAGGGGCCCAGAGGACAAGATGACAAGAGCACGATAAACATGATTACATGGGGTGGCCTGCTGCCTTCTTTCAGCTAATAAACAATGAAGAGCTGAAAGATACGTAACAAGGTAAAGCCCGCACCACAGGTAGGAAGCGGACGTACCTGGATTGCTGCATGTGGTGCAAGCAGGAGGGATCCCACTGCGCAGTGCTAACGTGATAAAGGAGCACGGCCCCGAGTGACACAGGCACGTCCTGTGGGGAGGCCTGCACCTCCTGGGGGGCCCAGCCACACCTCAGGGTCCACTGTGTCTCAGAGAGAAGCCCCAGCCTGCCCAGAGGTGGCCCTGTCCACACATGTGGCTGGCATCTCTCTTTCTAGAGTGGCCACGATGGAGGGAATGAGCAAGCAACCCCCCTCCCCCCCGGGCAGGGGTGTGATGGGTGCAGCAGCCCTGTCACCCTGCACAGCTCAGGCCTCAACACTGAGCCTTGGCCAGTCTTCAGCTATGTTTTCTGCTGCTTCTCTTGAGCCACTGAGCTTGGCCTTTCTGGACTTCGTGTTTCCAGTGGGGAACCTACTCAGACCCCACAAGATTCTGACTCAGTGTAGTTATGCAGCCTGCCCGGAGCTTGGCGTGGAGCAGGTGCTCAGAAAATGCCAATATTCTCTGATTGTGTGGCAAATGACAGAACACGCAATGGCCCAGAGGTCGGTCTGGCAGTCCCCACCGGGTGTGCTGGGGACCACAGACCTTGAGCCCGATGCTTCCTTCCCTCCACTTGGCCTCCGTGGCCACAGAGCCCTGGGGTGTCCCGTCAGACAAGTACAAGGGGCACCCCGGCCTGCATTCCACATTTACAGTCCACACTATTCTGAGTATGTGCTTGTCGGGTCCTGCTGAGTGAAAGGCCGTGATGCTGCCCTCCCCACCCCTCCCCCCCGACCCAGAAGCCCAGACGCAACTCATGGGCAGGACTGGGGCAAGGCCTATGTTTTACCGCTGGATTGTGACTGTTTTACGTTTAGTGTTTTATAATAAAAGATAGAAAATGTCCAAAAGGGGTGTGCAGCATAAAGAAGGTGGCACACGAGTCCTGTGCAGTGTCTGCCCCAGTGGGCAGCGAGCCCCCAGGTCCCCCAGGAGCTGCAGGTGGACCCGCGGGACAGGCCCTCTCCCCTGCTGCCACACCTGGGCTGCTTGGGCTGGGCCCCAGGCAGCGCGACCTCATCACCTCTCAGGCACATTGAGCCACATGCGGAGTCCCCTCCAAACACCTATTTTCTACGAGACTCTTCACCAGTTGCTCCGCAAACCACAAGGGTTGTTAGAAAGCCACTCTGGCCACGTGCCGCAATGGGACCGCGTGCCCTCGCACAGGCAGCTCTCCAGGCTGTGGGTCCCACAGAGGGTCGGACATCACCTGGAGAGCCCCAGCGGGGAGCATGGATACTCACAGCAGCAATGGAAGGCTTCTTCCCGTCCCCGGCAGGTGGGTGAGTGACATCGGCCCCCAGGAAGATGACGGGCTGCTGGAACACGGGCGGCCTGTGGAGGGAAGCGAGGCGTCTGAGGCCTGGACCCCGAACCCACTGGCCTCAGCATCACTTATGTTTTCAAGAGAACGTCTGATCTTGTGATGTTCCACCCAGAACACCTCGCTGAGGAGGCCACAGGAGGTCTGAGATCTGCTTCCACGGAAGCCGGGGAGCACCGCACCCCAGGCTGCTGGGGCTGCGGGCGGGGAGGATTCTATTTTGTACCCGGTTGAGCGCTTCCGCGGTAATCTTACATATTGTAAGTATATATGTTAAAATCACGTATTTATAACAAAATGATTATATATGCAAGACTTCGATCCCCAGCATGTTTCCAACCACCCCTGGGGGGCTCTTCTCTGGGGTGTCCCCACCCCCACCTGCTCACCATGGCCCACCCGCCCCTCTCTGTAAGGCAGGCCTCGGGGGCGGCCCCGATCTCGCCTCCCCAGCACGGACACAGGGCCCTGGCAAGCAGCCCGCCACGCTGCGCCCCTGCCCGCGGCTCCTACTCCAGGGAGCATCTGCACCTGGGTTGTGACTCACACCTCTGACGAGGAGCACCTGCCTGTGGCTAAGCTCCTAATTAGCGGGGCCCATTCACCACCTGGGGGCCCATTCACCACCTCCGAGCAACCTGCCCCCCTTTCCTGCTGCCTGCTGCCATGGCGACAAGGCCCCGCCCCCACACAGCAGAGCCTCAGACCTCCTCACTAGGTCTGTCAGCACCACGTGAAACAGGAGACCCAGGACACCCAGGATCCGCCAGCCCGGCTCCCCCTCTCCACAACCCTTTAACCCCGAACTTCCCGGGCAGCATGCTTGGTGGGCATCCATCCTGTCTATACCCTGCGTTGGGGGATCCGGACCTAACCAGCCTTGTGGCTTTTAATACCACCCCTCTGCTGGGGACCCCTAAACACACATCCCGGTTACCAGATCCCGGTTCCCGCTTGCCCACCCGTGACGCTCCTCCAGCATGATGCCGCAGCCCCCACCTCTAGTGCTAAGTCTGCAGAGGCTCCGCGGAGGGAGAGCCGTGGACCCCTTCCTCTCTCACTCACAGCCCAAACCCAACCTGTCAGCAGGCCCTGCAGTGCCATCTTCCAAACACGATCTCTGGGCACCCACGCCGCCCCCACTGCCAGCACCCCTCCCGAGACAACGCAGGTGCCCCTGGGTCCCGATCCACCCAGAGTTGGAGCAGCCTTTCAGGAGAGGAGCCTCCAGCGGCTGTGTCCTGCCCAGAGCGAGCCCCAGGCCCCTGCCAGCAGCCCTCCACCCCCGGGTCCTTCGCTAAAACCCCCAGCCGTCCTGGCAGGCCCCACCCAGAGTCCCTGCTCAAACCGTGGCCTGAGTCTGGAACACCCTCTCCGCAGGCATCCCACACGCCTGCACCCTCGGGCCTGCCATCTGCCCAAGGCCACCTTCTCCACGGAGACTGTCACCACATAAACCCCAGTTCCTCACCCTCCTGAGCTCCTGTCCCTCTGGTGATGTCACTGCTTCTCATGTGTCGGGGTCCCCCCACTAGAGGGCTGGGATGCTGGGCGCTGTGCTCCCTGCTGTGGCACACTCCTGCACACAGTAAGCACTCAACACAGAGCCTGCTGAGTGAATGGCACCCTGAGTTTGCCACCTGCTCTCGACAGGTCCTCACATATTCCCACGACCTGAGCAAGTCAACCTCGCCTCGCAGATCCAGCCTTCAAGTTCAAGACTGTCCGCTCTAAACTCAGGTTCTTTCCACTTTACTGCACAGCAGCCTAACTCCGCCCAGCGGTGTTCTCCGGGTGTTCTCCGGGTGTTCTCCGGGTGTGGCCCCCGGGGCAGTATCGCTTGTAGACTTGCTAGGACTGTCAGTGCTTGGGTCCCGATCCAGGCGTGCTCATCAGAACCTGTGTGCTTCCACGAGGCCCGGAGGTGACTCAGATGCTGGCCCAGGTGTGCCCGCACGGGCGCCGGGGGAGCCTGGAGGGCTGTGCACACAGCTGGTGCCGCCTGGTGCCTCTCCCCGAACACACAGGAGCAGCAACGAGGGCCTGCCGTCTGCATGAGCGCCACTTCTCGCCAAGGGCAGTCTGGCTCATGGAGGGGTGAGTGTGTCAAATAACCTGTGTTTACCCACGTTTGCCGTTCACATGCTAACGCAAAGGCCAAGATTCTTCAGAAAGAATCACACGACAGTATCTGTTGTCATGGAGACCCTCTCCCTGCTGCAGCAGGCACCGGCCAACCCCCAGGAGGCCCAGAAGCTGATCCTGGCCTTCCCTCGAGCACCAGGGCCACATGCCCAGCCAAGAGGTCCGGGGGGACCCCGGAGTCCTGCCCCACCCCCGCGCCGCCAGCCCCCGACCCCGACCCCGGCCTGCGATCTGCCAACGGTGTCCTCTTCCGTGGAGCCTTCCCCAAGGGCTCCGTTCCCAGCACCAACCGTATCAGGGGCAGTCACCGCCAGCCTGGGAGGGCTGCTCCAGCCTTCACGGCAGTGACTGTGTGGCTCCAGGAGGGGAGCTTTGACAAGGGAGGCTCGTGTCCCAGCCACTCACTCCTTTCACGGCACAGCTGCCAGCTTTCATGTTTCAGGACCCCTGGGCCCTTCTCTGGCCTCCCTGCACTCAGGGAACCCAGCCATGGCACTCAGTGACCCCCAGATGCCCCCTGCCCCCCAGACTCCGAGCAGCTGAACCTGTGTCTTACTTCCAGTTTCTGCTGCATCCAGGACATTGCTTGATGCAGGCAGCCCGACGCCCATGTGTGCACTGCCCCCATCCCACAGGGACCCTGCTGTCACCAGGCGCACACACAGCAGGGGGGCTGGCCTTACCTCCCCTGGGGCAGCAGGATGTTGTTCACGCCTCCCAGTTTGACATTGATCTTCAAGCAGAGGTTGGACAGGGTCTGCGGGGTGGTCCTCTGCACATTCTTCATTTGCACACACTGCGTGGCCATCCCCAGCACCGTGTCTCCCACGCGCTTCACCTCGGCTGTGGAGCATGAAAGATGCCCACGTTGACAGCTCTCACCGGCACGTCTTCCTTAGCGCCCCCCAGGACCCGCACCCCGAACCGCAGGGGCCCCCCTCGTAATTGCAACCACATCACTGGGGCCAGCTTCCCTGCCCAGCCCCACCTGACGCCACACCTGGGAAGAGGGGGACCGGCAGGTAGGGGGTGGCCAGGCCCCGGGGCTGGAGTTCTGGCTGTGGCCCTGTCCAGGCTGGCGTCACCTTGCCAGGAGGCTGCGGAGCAGGGCTCGTGGCTCGGCGGGGTGAGGACCGTTTCAGGGGCTTTAGGGGCTGCAGGGCCGTATGGGCAGAGCCAGCCTGGCTCAGGGGCTGGCACTCCCGCCTAGAACGCTGCCTTCTATCGCAGTGCTCAGGGTTACGAGCAAAAGCTTGGGTTGTTAAAAATAGAGACGCTGGCATCCTTGAAATTCACAGCACATGCAAAGCCAACATCAAAGAGCTATCGAGGCCCACACCCCTCGGTTTCTGGATTCTTGCACGGAGCTACGGTCAGCTCCCTGGGCAGTGCCGTGGGAACGGGTGACTTGTGGATGGAAACACTGATGGTGTCATCTGCGTTCTTGGATATGTAGCTTGGAGGGGAGATGCACGGCTTTTATGCATCTAATTCAATCTGAGGGTCCAGTTGGCGACACCACCTGAGCGTCACGGCTCCCGCACGCTAGAGGTTCTCATCCTGACGCCACCTCTGCTGGGCACCTTTGGGTCCCGCAGACTTCCCACAGCTGTCCAACAGCAACCCCTCCTCCCCCGCCTGTCCTGGAGTCACCTGTCTGCCACCCCCACCACCCTGGGGTCCCCTGGATGGGGGGCTGCTCTTTGAACTCTCATCACAGGGGCTGGCTTAGTTTTAGCTGAATGGATGCGCAACTGCCCTGCTGGCGTGAAGACTCTGATCACCTTCCAGAGAGCTCCAAGCGGGCACAGAGATGGCCACACCTGGACAGCGGCCCCCAGCGACCACTGCATGTGCACTGAAGGGGCATTCCTGCACCCGGCCAACATCGAGTGGGGTGGAATAAAATAACCACGCACATGCTGGCCTCCAGGAAGTGGTCTCAGCGCTGATGCGGGCGGCCCTCGGCACTTGCCTGGCAGTTGTCAGAACGTCCCTCGTCCTTCTTAGCTCATGAATGAGGCAGGCACAGGCATCCCTCAGTGTGGCAAAAACACCAAGGACCCGGGCTGCACCAAACACCCTGGGGACCCCGAGAGCAAAGGCCTACCGTAAACGGGGGTCTTGCCAGGCAGGATGACCACCACCAGCTGAAGGCCAGCATACGTATTCTTCAGGTGCCTGAACATGGGCTCCACGCTATCCGCCCCCTGGGCATATTTACAGAAGCACGGCTGGCCCTGAATGGGCATCCCAGCGTCCCTCGAGATCTTTCTGAGCTGCTCCGTGAAGGATCTGAAGGAGAAAGTTCATCAGGCTTGAACGCACGGCGTGCGCCCAAGAATCCACCTCAACTAGGGACCCCAGGGGAAGGGCACGGCTTTAACAGCCCAACCCAAGCCACTTCCACTGGTGTCCGAATCCAAAGGTCAGACCTGGACAGAGCCATTTCTATGTGTTAACTCAAAGCAGAGGTATATGCTACGTGTACACGCGGGTTCCTGAAAAGCCACTCCCAGCTGTAGGGGCTGGTGCGGCTGCCACCCACTCGGCAGGCCCAACCAGCGCCCGGGTCCTGGGGCAGGATGCAGGACCTTGTCAGCGCCAAACACTGTCAGAGAGAGGAAAGCCACCAACCCACTGTCCCCTTGGACTCGCCCCCATTATTCATGAACCGCTTGGACTTGGGCGACACAGCCGTGGGAGAGAGCAGGATTGGCCACAGCCAGGGCAACACCAGCAGCTGCCCCGGCAGGCCTGGAGAGGCCACCCCCACCCCGGCGGGGGGCACACGCAGGGCAACAGCTTCTATTTTAAGCCCAGAAGTAAAAATAACGTCGCCTTCGATAGTTAAGGGTAAGGACACTCGATCCAGTGGCGCGAGTGTTCATCCTCCTATACGTCGATGTGCTTAGAGACATGTGCATGCGTGTGCACCTGCATTTATGCCTATGCGTGAATTCACCGCAGGGCTGAGGCCACAACACGGGGAAGAGGCACCTGGGGTTCAGCCGCAGCCGCCTTGGCTTCCTAAGCTGCTCTGTGCGGCCAGCTCACGCTGCCGGCAGCGGGGACAAGTAGCCCCGACAGCCTTTTGCCCCTTGATGTCCGCTCTCGGGGACTTTGAGCCCCAGCTTCTCAGAGGCGGCCTTCACCAGCACGTTAACTGGCTTTGCCCCTAAGGCTCTGAGTTCCCTCCTGCTTCCCCACAAGACAGGTGAGAAGCAATAGATTCCTTTCCACTGTTGGTGTTTTGGACACAAAAACACGAGCGACAAGGGCACCTGGGTGGCTCAGATAAGCGTCTGCCCTCGGCTCAGGTCATGATTCTAGGATCCTGGGATCGAGTCCCACATCCGGCTCCCTGCTCAGCGGGGAGCCTGCCTCTGCCTCTCCTGCTGCTCCCCTGCTTGTGCTCTCACTCGCTGTCTCTCAGATAAAGACATGAAGTTATCTTGATGGGATGAGCCCTGGATGTTATACTGTATATGTTGACAAATTGAATTTAAATAAAAATACGTAAAAAAAAAAAATGACCGATGAAACTGCGTATTTTTGGTGCTACTTTCAAAGGGGTCCGCTGCCTGGGCCACACCAGGGTGATGCAGAGGCAGGAGGCCAACGTGTTTTCTTCAAAGTAAGTTGAGTTCGCTGAATATAACTTTTTCTTTTGCATAAAATTTTCAAACTTACTCATTTACTGTTTTATCTCTTATATAATCTGCATCACTTCTCCACACTCCCTCCACCAATGAGTCTGAGAAGTAGAAGCAGCCTTGAGGTGGCCCATGTGTCCTGGGCCAGTGCTCCCTGCCAGGGAAAGACCACCAAGCCTGGCAACGGCACTAAGTCCACCTCCCTGCTGGCCTCGCACCCCCCTGCTGGCTGTCCCGCCCTCCTGCCCCCCATCCCACCCAAAGCCAGGTGCGCCTGACCCTGGTGGCCTTACTTCAGGTGGACTTCTGTGCACTGACGCTGGGGGGCGAAGCACGCGATGGCCCACACCTTGATCTCAATGCCTGTGTGAAACTGTTTGTTCCTCATGTCCCACACGCCCTGGACAGGGGTGGCAATCGCTTTATTCTGCAAATGGCAAGAAACAGGGTGAGGGAAAATGGGAAACATGTCCCCACCGCTGATGCTGTTACTTTCCCTATGGCTGCTGGTCCTCTGACCACATGGTGCTCTTGAGGCTGAGAACTGAGCCTCTGTGCAGCCTCCCATCTCCGGCCTGCCCAGCAGTGCAAGTGGGCTGGAGATAATGGACGGATAGACAGACGAAGAGCTGGACAGGAGAGGAAGGAAGGATGGATGGATGGATGGATGGATGGACGGACGGACGGTGGAGGGAGGGGCGGATAGAGGCCAGGAGAGCAGAGAGTCCCAGGAGTCCACACAACCTCAGGGGCAGCCCCGAGGAAAGCCAGGGCCTCGTGTTGCTATAGGAGGGCTTCCTGGGTCAGAACACGGTCTCATCTACTCTGCGTCCTCCGTCACCACACAGGCAGGCAGGAGGGGAAGAGAAGTCAAGGTGCTCCTTCCCAGTCCCGGGTGGGGGAGCAGATGGACCAGCTAGGGCCCCCCCACCCCACATGCGGCTGTTTAAGGATGGAAGCTGCTCCCACTGGTAAAGACAGCAAGGGGTGCATCCACTGGGGCTTGCCATATCTGAGCCAGAAAGGACCAGGCCTCGGCACTGGCACCCGAGGAAGCTCTGAACTCCCTTCAAGTGATTCCGGGGCACAGGGACCATCGGGGAGGGCTGGGGGCAGGAGGTAGGGCTCTAGGCCTGGGGGCACCACCAGAGGACAGGGCTGCACCTGAGTTCCTGTCATTCAGCTGCAGAAGTGTTTTTAGTGGAAAAAATTTTTTTTATTAACAAAAGTAATACAAGCCTATTTGTAAAAACCAAACCTTTTAAAAATTAACGCTTTTCTTTCCTATATTTTTATAACTATTGCCCTGCTGCCACTTGAGACAGGCTTTTGTAGGAGACAACTGACCAGCGGTCTGGTATTGCAGACTTTAGTAAACAGGTAAACAGACACACACACACACACAGTTTTAACAGACATGGGCTCTCATGACACGTGTTTCTCAACCGCAGCTCTACTGACATCTGGACTGTCCTATGCACTGCGGGATGCTAGCAGCCCTCGGCACCAGGACCAGCCTCCAGGCACTGTTAAACATCCCCTGGGGGGACATTTCACGGTTTGCTCCAACAACAGACAACGAGTGGAGTAGATGGAAAGTGTTTGCTCTCATTAAAATGTTTCAAAGATCTGGAAAACTGTGCTCATTTAGAAAAACTGTAAAATTTCAATCCTTACAATTCTAATATTTTTGCAATAGATTACAAGACAGACTATTCCTGTTATCTACTAAAAGGCATAAAGTTGAAACAGATATAAGCAGAGGCAGTGAAAATAAACACCAGATCTGTGATCTTGGTTTGACCACGTAAGGGCCACATAAGCCTCTATTTCTAGCCATCTCTCCACTTGCTCGTGAAAGGGAATCACACACTCTTCCTCCTAGTGTTGTAAGAAGGGTTTAAAAGGGGTTATGTTTGCATAGCATCTGGACATAGCAGGTGCACAAGTGAGCTGAGAAAGAGCCTGGAGGCCTTGCTCAGAACATCCTTTGGGGGATGGGGGCCAGGACAGGGACACCCCCCCCCCCCCGTGCAGAACACCACATGGTGAGAGTCCAAAAGAACAAGCCATGCGTCACATACATGCAGAGCCATCTCCAAGACCTCCATGTGCTCTAAGTGATGGTTTTGAGTTAAAAGAAGTGTATTTAATGTTACTATTTGCAGTGGAAGGGGTGAAAACATGTGAATCATCCCTGGACAGCTTTACAAAGGATAAAGGGAACACCGGGCCCTTCCTGGGAGAGCAACTGAGACTTCTTCCTGTAACCCTCTGCTTCGTCGCGTTGTTTTGTAAGTAGGCTCCACGCTCAACGTGGGGCTCGAACTCGTGACCTGACATCCGGAGTCGCATGCTCTCCCGAGCGAGCCAGCCAGGTGCCCTCTGCTCCTGTAATTCCTTCTACCTTTTGTAATTTTGGGACATTTTAAAAAGAACTTACATGTTATAATGAGAAAGGGAAAAACCCTGCAAACAAAACTAGACTTTGCTACAGGTCCTGAGGACCAGCTGCCCACCTGGCAGCACCGCACTCTGCGTCCGGGGAGCCCCGAGGAGTACGTGAGGGCCCTTCTCAGGAGCTCTGCAGGGCTCAACGGACGGCACGGCGTTATTATGCGCTGAAGCCAGGCATTACATGAGTGAAAACAAACAAATGAACAAAAACCTGAGGGTCTAACAGCTCTGTTTGCCACCAGATACTCCCAAAACCAAAGTTTAAAAAATAGAAAAGCAGTACGAGCTCCCGGAAAATAATTCATCACGAGCAGAGTACCCATCACCCGAAGAACACTGCTTTCTAGGTTTTAATGGGATAATAAAAATCACCCTTTGAAAAGATAAAGGGTAATGCTGAAAATCCTCCAGCGGCCCAGCAACTCCGTGCTTCCTGAGGCCCCTAACGCCTGCCAGCTTGGACTACGGTGGCAAGAACCCCTCACTTCGACTACGGTCTACACTTGGCGATGGTCTGACCTGGGTTCAAAAGCCGCTGCTCCACCATCGTCTGGCAGACACCCACGCACGTCCCCGGGCCCTGCTGTGCACGTACCCTGCCCCCATAGAGGATGGAGGGTGGCTGGAGGACCCGCCCGGTCACATCTGTCATCTCGTCCTTGACCATGATTCCAAATTCACGAACATACGGATCTGTGTTAAAACTTGCACTTCGCATCTTGAAAAGGAAAGAAGAAATAAGCCGTGTCCATCCAAAGCCTCAGGGGCTCCCTGGCCCGGCAGCAGGTACTGCATTCCCCATGGTGTCCCCAGCCCCGGCCTGGCCCCGCAAGCGGGGTGCTCACCAGCTTGCTAATCTCTTCTTGCCGATCCGGCGCTGACCTGGCAGTCGCTCTGATCATGGTTGAGGTCTGATTGTCGGTCAGCTTTTTGATACATCTCTGTCCTGCTACTATGTTACAGACCTAGAAGAAGAGACGCAGACAGGGCGTCAGTCAGCCCCCGTGCTGGGAGCCGGGCACCGGGCGCCGGGTCGGGGTCTGAGCTGGGCGTGGGGCTGGTGCCCTGGCTCCGCCCGTGGCGCTGCCGTCTCGTAGCCACAAAGGGTGATGCGTCTCGCAGATCCCGTGGTGGCTACCCTGAAATCTGCCAGCGACAGGAGGCCCTCCTACATGGGCCTGGCCTGGTACCAACCAAGTTGGGAACCAGGAGGCTGGGACCAGGAGGCTGCCGCCGCTGGGGAGGAGGCCGGTCTTCCGGACCAGGGCGCAGCCGAACCAGCCGGATGTCTGGGTAACTGGACCCATACAGAGTTTAAGGCATTCACAGCAAAGTGTTAAAACTTGGGCCTCCGTTTAGCATTTAATCTTTCCCCGGCAAGGTGAAGGAATCGTAGCTTTTCTGTGCATCCTCCCCCTTGAGCAAGGGGCCTGCCTGCTGGACACAACGGGTGTGTCCCCGATCGGCACGGGAGTCCCACGGGAGTCCCACCGGTTCATTCACGGGGAGGTGGGTGCAAGGGGTGCCCTCCGGGGCCCTCTTGCCAGCCCCAGGCAGCGGGGACAGGACACGACACTTGCCTCGAGGGGAAGGTAGGTGTGTTTCTGCTCCTGTCCGACTTGTAAACATGGGAGGTGGGGGTAGCGCAGAACCAGCTTGTGCCTGTCCTTGAAGTACTGGGCCACTGTGCACTCCACAGTCTGCCCGCTCTCCTGCTGGAGCGGGAACCTAGGGAAGCGGAGACGGGGCTCAGGCCAGGAGCTCTGCGGTGCCCCCGGGGACGGGCAGCGGGCTGGTGCTGGCTCAGCAGGGCCGCTTGCAGGGGCCCATCCGCGGACACCGAAGAAGGTGGTGGCAGGGTGTGGGGGGCGAACGTCCAAGCACGTTCGAGGGGGTCAGAACCAAATCATGCCCTCCAGGTACGCAGTTCGTGAACTTGCATATTATCTCTGGAGTTGAGAAATAAAAAATACCTATATGCATATAATAGGCAATAGTCCCAGACTGCAGGTGTCTACGGCATGTGTAAGGAACTGGGGACAAATGAGGACACTAGCCGTGCCCGTGGTGGGCTGTGCCCACTGGTTCCTGCTCAGTCCTGAGGGTTGGAGAACAAACAAAAAAGATCCTCTCTCACCTGTAAAATTCAGGAAGGAAAATCGACAGGGAGCCACCAACCCCTTCCCACCCCACGGGATATAATGTCATTACTTTATTTCTTTAGGTGTGGGTTTGGCTCTACTGAGCCAGAGGTATAGCTCTAGAATTTTTAACCACAATGAAATGAATTCTTAACAGAAGGGTCACTGCTCTAGAGTCTGGACCTCAGAGCGACAGTGAGCGCCAGAACTGATCTGAGTGGGGGACTAAGGCCGTTTACGTTTGGTGACTGGCGGGCCGTCGGGTCACGTTGCAGACGCGGTACTTCCTCTTCATCTGCCCGCAGTGCGTTATCTCCACCTTTAGACCTGGCAACACAGAGCAGCCGAGTTCAGTGTCAAGGCCCACCGGGCCTGGGGCGTAGGCCCCACTTCCCCGCACCGGCTGTCACTGGTGTCAGACCCAAGCGGAGGGTGTCCTGGAGCAGCTGCAGGGCTGCGCTCGCCATGAAGGGGGGACCTCTGGGCCCATCTCACCCACAGGGACACCCCTTCTGCTCCAGAAATGCCAAGGCCAGAGGCTGGACACTGTTCTTAAAGATAAAAGAGGCTGTTGGCTCAGCTGAGACTCTGCGCTTCCTCCAGGGTTATTTTTAGCAACGGGCACTTCTGATGGCCTTTAGAGAGCCCTCCGAGAGGACAGGTGCCGGGGGCGTGGCTCGCGGCGCGGGCGACAGGTGCCGGCCAATTCTGCGCGGCTGGGCGGATGGGCCTGGGCCAGGCCACTGCACTCAGGCCGCGTCTCCTTGAGTGGAAACTGGGCCCGGTGGGTCCGGACGCTGCCAGGGTTGTGAGGGCCACGTGACAAGGCATGAAAGCATGCTCCCCATTCCAGAACAGCATGAGGTGTGGATTATAACCACCCCCCTGCTCTCTGGTCCTAGAGTCCAGTGACTTGGACGTCACCGGTCAGTGACCTGCTCCTCACCCTACGTGGAAAGCCGTTTATTTAGAACATGACTAATCCTGCTCTGTGAAATGGGCTTAGTTCATCTCTGTGCTAAATTCATCCGATGGCTAATCACTCCCCGCCTCCCCACACCCCCTCCAGGAGCCCCAGCGCAGGGGAAAGGACCTCAGCCCGACGTGCAAGGCAGTTTGTTACCCACCTTTGATTTCTTTGGTAAACTTTACCCTTTGGGAATCTGTCAGAGGTTTCTGTTGTTCTTCAATACTTTTAAAATCCAAAACTTCACAAACAAACTCGATTACTGGCTGTGCCTTATAAAATGCAGTTGCTGAGACTGTAGATGGGACAGAGAAAAGCAAAAGCTTGATGTGTGCCCGACGGTGCCTCCTCCAGGCTGGCCGCCTGGCCCCTGGGGTCCACCTGCAGGCCCTACGGGTGGGACGGAGCCAGAGGAGGCCGCCTGAGACCCCTTCCGCTCAGGGCCAACTGGATGCAGTTGGTGGAGCCCAAAGATCAAGCTCCCCTCTGAGAACAAAATTAGCCTTAAGGTGAAACCTGCCAAATCACAACAGCCATCACCTCGGGCTTTCTGTCTCCTGGTGTATTTGTTCCCTTGTGCGATCCGACACTGAGTCTCCCAGGAGGACAGGCCACCCCGAGTCTGGCGACCAGCCAGCAGACCACACCCCAGGTTGGCCCCGAACCCCCAGTCCTACCAACCAGGCCACAAAAGGAAAAGGGGAGACGGAGGGCAGGCCCTGCCTGGTGGGCATGGGCAGCAGCACCGGGGAAGGAGTCAGGGATGCAGGCCCGTCCCAGTGCCCCGAACCTCAGCAGCAGGTGTGAGAGGCCACACGCCCCTGCCCCACGACAAAGACTGGAGCTGCGCTCACCATCGATATTCAACATCATCTTCCAAAGAGAAGGTCGGACGGACTGATGGAAGCCAAACCACACTTCCCGGCCCCCGCCAAGGGGGTTGGAGCAGCCCTCGGACGCGGTAAAGAAGGAGCGGCCCACAGGGGTGTACCTGAAACAAGAGACCCCGTGTCCGTGGGGCTGACTCCAGGTCTGCCGCTCACGGCGACAGTGATGCAGGCCAAGACTCACACCAATAAGTCTGCCGTTTCTGTCCTTACAGAGTCACGGCCACCCACCCGCCGTGCCTCTGGATGCCACACACGGGCTCTGGCTGAGCAGGGCCTGGGGCACACGGGGTGTTGCCGGCTTCAGCTCAGGTGTCTGACACCCCTCCCCTCCCCTCTGTGCTTTAACGCTCATCCTCCAGGACTTATCTGAGCACGGCACTTCACCCCTTCCTAGAACAGGGGTGCTGTGTGTGCAGGCCCAGGCGGAAGGGGCACCTGCCGAGTGTCAACCACAATCAGGCCGAGGTGGCTGGACCGAACCAGCCCCAGGCCCCAGGAGCCTGGCTGCTTTGCCAAGGAGTGCGCGGAGACGCCTGTCTCACGCAGCAGGACAGGCTCCCAATATGTGGAGGGAGACGGGAGGAGCCCGGCCTCGCGAGCGGGGGTGGTCAGGTCGCTGTGTGAGGACCCTCGCACACCTCCTAGGGGCCGGGTGCCCACGTGTGCAGGAGCAAGAAGCCACGTGAGGGAGGCGGACACACTCTCAAGGCAGCAGCACCAACGGTGCCTGGTCACCTGGGATGTATCATCACTAAGGATGCGTCCTTCAGGGGTTGAGTCGTCCACCCTACGGGCTGCGCCAACAACCAGACTGCGGACACGGTCCCTTCTCTCTCCCCCTTACACATGTTGATCCTGCCACTTTCTCTATTATTTTTCCTAAGTGAAAATAGACTTTTCTCCTGATTGTAAAAGTAACATGGTGATTAATTCAAAAGAACCCAGGAAACAAAAATTGCAGTAATTTCTGACGCTCATTTGAAAAGTATTCAAGATTTTGGCAACTACCCTTCTAGATTTTTTCCTCTGGCATCCACCTGCCTTCCTCCCAACACAAGTTCCAAGGAGTAACGGATGACCCCCCCGGGGCCTGGGGGAGGCTCCCCGCCACGAGTGCCATGAGTGACAGCCAGCCGGGAATGCGGCCACCCCCACCCAAGCCTGGAGGAACACCAGGGTCCCGGGAAAATCCAACGGGGCACTTTGGAGCATGTGCTCTCACACCCACAGAGGGACAACGGAAGCCCCACTGCCCTTCAAATCCTAGAGCTCTGCCCCTACTGGGAGGGGTCAGCCTGGAGGCCCCTCTCCCGTCGCTGGTTCACCCCAACAGCCCCGAGGCCCTGTCAGGTGCCACCCTCCTGGAAGGAGGTGTCCCAGGTCAGAACCCCGAGGCGTCTGCATGTGGCAAGGTGGTCTGGCCCGTACGAGGCCGTCACACAAGGAATTAGTGCAGCCTCGACACCTGGGAAATCACGAGCCGTCCCAGCGTCCATGTGGAATAAAGCAACGGGCTGAAGCATCCGGTGTCCCCCGCAGCCTGTGTCCTCCGGGTAGTGGGGGCTCCGTCGGGGGGCACTGGGAGCATCACCCTACTGTTACGAGTCCCACGTGTGAAGGCCACAGAGACATGGAGCGGGGCTCACAGTGTCGGGCAAGTGAACGCTAATCCCCAGTGTACACGAAGACGGGCAGGCCATCTTTTTGTGCTAGTCTGAGAATTCTGGAGATTTCTTTTTCTTTCCTTTTTATTTTTTTAAAGTAATGTCTGGCCAACATGGGATTCGAGCTCACAATCCTGGTATCAAGAGTCACATCCTCTACTGATTGAGCCAGGGAGGCGCCCCTGGTGACTGATTTTTATATTAAAAATGTTTCATGTTAGTAGTGCTATAATTTTCACCATAGAAATCCATGACCATCACCTCCCTGACTCCAAAAATCCACTCATCCTTGGACAGAGATTTCCCATCCTCCAGGGAACGGTCAGGGTCAGAAGCAGACGCTCCTGCTTCCTTGGTCCTCACCTCATGGATGGCAAATGCCTCATGACTACATCCAGGGCCTGGATCGTCTCAAAGGGGACGCTGGGCAGCCGCCCCGAAAGTGCATCGTGTAACGCCTGTAAGCTCACACAGGACACCCACTTGATGGACACCTTGAAGATGCGGTCCTTTCCTTCTCCAGGCAACGTGACCTCCAGCTCCACCTGCAAGGAGATCCAGAGCACACGGTTATTCACACTAGCCTCTGAGAAGCTGCTGGGAGGTTGGGGGCAGTGGGTCAGCTTCCAGAACACTCCTGGGTAGGGAAGTTCAGCCCATCCTTTGTCCAAGCATGCACAGCGGGACGTGCACACAGCCCTAGCCCACGAGCGCCAGCACTGAGCGGGACCTGGGACTTCTCCCTGGCCCTGCACAGAGGCGGCCAGGGGAGACAAGCAGCGACAGACCGTGTCGTGGAGGCCACGCCAGTGCAGGGCAGACGCTGCACAGCAGTTCCAAATGGGGCAGGGGACACGGGCGGGGGCCTGGGAGCTAGTTGGGGGCCCAGGGATTAACTCCCAGTGGAACTGGGAACACTGCAGTGGGTCTGGGGGCTCCCATGTTCTGGGTCCATTAAGGTAGGTTTGCGGTGAATAAACCATAAACAAAAAGCCTTCTCAGAAGACAAGAGAAGGCAAAACAAACAGCCAAATGCTAACAACTGCAGACTCCAGGCGGGCGTGCGCGCCCCTACAGTGCCTCAACTTTCCTCTCTGACTAGGCAGGTCCACAACAAATAGAGAATGCAGGAGGGGGGGACTCGCCAACACTTCCAGAAGCTCTTCTACAGACTGTGTGCACCTCCGGGTACAAAACGCAGAGAAAAAAGCTTCAACTACAAGACCTATCAGAATCTCCTGCGAAGGAATTAAAATTCTCAGCCAAACCTCAGAATATTTGCCACAATAGTGCTCAGTGGTCCCCAACAGCTCTGTCCAAGAGAACTTTTGTGATAACGGAAATGGTCTCTTCCCATGCTGCCCAGGGCGCCGGCCGCTGGCCGCCTGTGGCCACTGAGCAGTGGAAATGTGGGCAGTGTGGCCGAGGGACTGAATTTTCAGCTTTGTGCACTTTTCATGAGTCCACACTTACACGGCCACGTGTGGCCAGCGGCTGGCGTACTGGACGGTGGTTGGGAGCGGGCCCCAGGGACTCACTCCCCGAGGCAGACAGCGAGTCCCTCTCCCCTCTCCTCCCGCCCCCCAGCACCCCTCGCCTCCCCACCTTTACCCCGTCGCTTCACTCCCCCACTTGTGACCCACCCTGCAGTTCATTATTCGGTCACTGAGGGGGGCGTTCTGAACACTTGGCGCACACAGACCCCCACTCAGCTGTCATTGAAACAATTTCAATATTTGCCCACAATACTCCCCAATATTGATGGAACATCTCATTTGACAGGTGACAGGGGCACCTGGATGGCTCAGGAGGTTGAGCGTCTGCCTTGGGCCCAGGGCATGATCCTGGGGTCCCGGGATTGAGTCCTACATCGGGCTCCCCGTGTGGGGCCTGCTTCTCCCTCTCCCTGTGTCTATGCCTCTCTCTGTGTCTCTAATGAATAAACAAATAAAATCTTTAAAAAAGATAACTTGACAGGTGACAGATTATATATGTTTTATCCCTGAACATCCAAAGATCCCAGGAAGGGAGACTTTATTCACTACTTTTTACATATAAAAACGCAGATGCTTAGACTAAAAGCATAGCCTGTGGAACTTCCCACGTGCTCACTGGGGGGCTGTCACCCTCGGGACAGCACAACACGGATGCATGGCCACAGCCCCTGTGCCCAGCCCACCCCAGCCCTCCAAGTCTGCAAGTCCCCAAAGGAACAGGGGTCCATCCCGCTGCCTGTGCACCACCTGCCTGGAACACCCTCCCCCAGCAGGCCAGGGGAGTCACGTCCCAGGCCAGGCGTGCCGGCCGCACAGCCCCCGTGCACTCCTCACTCCCTCCTCAGTCGAGAGGCCTGCAGGCCCCTCTCAACTCCTGAGGAGCTCCGTCCTCACACACTCACTACCCCACATTCACACGTCATGAGAGCAGCAAGCAGACTGAGTGAGTCCCCTGCACCCGTGTCCAAGAGGACACCTGCCCGGCAGCACTCAGAGCACCATCCCGCCTGACAGCCACTAAGTGGCCGTGGCCCAGGCCCAGTAAGGACACAGCTGTGAGAGCACAGACGCTTCTAGGTGCATGGACCTCGGGACTGACCAGTGAGTCAGAAGGTCTCCGTGATCGGGTCCCTTTCAGAAAGAAATGACGTAGGTGACGGATGCACACACAGCTGCTAGAACCAGGAAGGCCAAAACCACAAGGAGCTGCCACCTCACACCTGTCCAAATGGCTAGAATCAAAAAGATGAAAAATAAAAAGTGTTGGCAAGGATGTGGAGAAATAGGAAATGTGTATTGCTGGCAGGATTGCAGAGAAAGATAAATGCCATGTGAGATTTCATTTATATCTGGAATTTAAAAAACAAAACTAATGAACAGAAACAGAGATTTGTAAATACAGAGAATAGTGGTTCCCGGGGGTGGGGGGTGGGAGGATGGGCGGAACGGGAAGGGGACGAAGAGGCACAGATCTCCAGATATAAGGAAGGATGTCACAGGGATGCAAAGCGCAGCGTGGGGAACGTGGCCAATGATACTGTCATGATGTCGTGCAGGGACTGTGGTGACCACACTCCCCACGGGAGCGTTTCCTCATGTACAGAACTGCCGGTCACCATGCTGCACACCTGAAACCAATGTAACACTGCATGTCCACTATCCTCCAATTAAAAATAATAGTCTGAACCCCCCCACCCCACGATCCTGCAGGACTGTGAGCAAGCAGCCACGGGGGGACTGTCCTTAAGGAGATTAGAGTCCGGCCTCAAAGATGTTTCTATGAAGTAATGAGGTGTTCAGAGAAACACACCAAACTTTTCTTTGCAAGAAAAGCCCTGCCATGCCATTTTGCCACATCAATTAAGAAAATGTGAAAAAAAAAAAAGTGAAAAAGTGGCAATTACGTGAGGTGATGGATGTGTTGATTAACTTAATTGTGGGTGATCATTCCACAACATATACATCTATCAAATCATCATGCACACTTTAAATATGTGCAGTTTTATTTGCCAATTATGCCTCCATAAAGCTGTGGGAAATGCCTCTATAAGCAAACCAAGGTGGGGGTACCTAGTGGGGTGTGTTTTCCTTCAGCAAAAGATCCTTATGTACATTTTTTTAAAAACGATTTTAGTCACTCATTCATGAGAGACATAGAGAGAGAGAGGCAGAGACCCAGGCAGAGGGAGAAGCAGGCTCCATGCAGGGAGCCCGGTGTGGGACTCGATCCCAGGACCCTGGACTCTGGCCCTGGGCTGAAGGCAGGTGCTAAACTGCTGAGCCACCAAGGCTGCCCCTTATGTACATTTTTAAGTGGATTCAGTCCAGCCTCTTCCCTGCCGGACATGGTGCCAGGAGGCTGCCTGGCACACCTATGACAGCTTTGGGGTAGCGGCGACTTCGGGAGAAATGCCCCATCACGGGGCAGGGTGGCGCTGGGCATCAGCTGTGACCCAAGCCTGAGGACATCCTCACACCGGGCTGGGCGGCTGGCAGCAGAGTCCGTCCACACACCAAGATCCATTTCTGAACACCCTGCAGCCCGTGACCCCAACAACGCAGCAGCTCAAGGCCATGGACTGGAGGCGTGGGACGCCGGGGCCCCTGGCTCTGCAACCTCGCAGGCCCGGAGCATGGGCAGGTGGCTTCCCGGAGCGCCCGCCTCCCAGAGCACCTGCCGGCACCTGCAGGCAGCTGTCTGGGACACAGCAACGCGACCACTGCCATCCTCTGCACACAGACCCCCGAACACCAGCTTTCGGCACCAACCCGGGCCCGGGGAAGGGGGAGCCAGCTGTGAAATCCAGTCTCTCCAGACAGACCAAGCCCCACACTCAGTCCCTGCGCCTCAAAGTCACCAGGGGGACAGTCAGAGCTGCCAGGGGGACAGCCCGTGTCGGCACCTACACAGAGGGAGGCAGAGACAAGCACCATCATGAGAAACCGCGTACGCAGGAGGCAGGGGCGTTTCGACAGGGTTTTCTCGTCCATAACTCGGCTGTCGTGTGGCCGAGGCCCCGGGAACTCACCGCCACCTGCTCCCGAGAGAGTCGAGCAGCCCTAGCAGGGCGCCGCGGCCACTCGCCACCCGCGGAGGCTGCGCGGCCGCTGCCCAGGCCAGAGGCCCTTTCCGGGGCGGGGGTGGGGGGTGGGCATGTGCTGGTCACACCCGTGTCAGATGTGCGCGGGGGCGGATATGGAAGGCCATCCGTGACTGCTCTGCGACCAATCTCTTCAAAAAGTCAACCGTCGTCCCTCCAAATCACTTTGGAACAAGCCACAGTCCTTCCTAGTACATCTAGAGAGGTGTGGACACCAGTCACCTCATCAGGTGGGAGCAGCAGGGACATCAAGTGGCGGCTCTGCCGGGTGTAAGCAACGCCCGCTGAGCACCTCTAACCCGGGCCAGCTGGGTTCAAGGCACTTTGACAGACGCTGTGGCTCTACTGGGGGGACCCTCAGCCCTGAAAGGCAGCAGAATAGCCCCAAAGAGCAGACAAGGCCAAGCCATCCTTACCTGGATGCTGCCCAAGGAAGGGACCAGATGGACGGCTCCCTTGCCAACTGCCTCTGCCCTCCAACCTCCTGACCCCCCGAGCCAGCCCAGAAGCCCCTCTGCCTTGCCCAGAACCCCAACACCCTGTATCTCAAGTCAACAGTCACAGGTAAGCGCTTGCGGCCCCGGCTCAATCTGGGGCACAGGCAGGAGTGCCAGGCAGGACACCTTGTGCTGGCTGTGCTCCCCCACGGTGAAGGCCTTCCATGCAGGGTCGGTCACCTTTTCAAGATGTGCCCCCGGCCTGACATCACCTCCCTCCAGGAAAGAGACACTCAAGCCTTCCCTGAATAAACAGAGACAGCCTGCAGCTGCAAGAAGCTAAAGACCCAAAGAGGGGCCCAAGGCTGGACGCAGTGCCAGGAGCAACCAACGACGCATTCTGATCTTGCAAATCGCATCCCGTTACTGCCAAGAAGGCCCAGGAGTCAGAGCCAAAATAGTGATGAACTCTTACAACATCCTCAGTCTCGATTCTGAGAAGTGAGGGCCTGGCCTGGGCCAAAGGGCCTCTCCTTCCACTCTGGGGCTAGAATTAAGGTGTGGGAGCTACTTAGGCAGGAGACAGTAAGGGGGGCGGGGAACATGTTGTGTGCAGACCTTGACATGAGTCACCTACATGCAGTTCCCACCCAGCTGCAGGCAGACACAGGGTGAGGGACAGTTAACATTTTCTCTCTTACTACAGAAGTGCCCACCACACAAAGGAAAGTGCTTCACAGGAAAAAAAAAAAAAGAGCAGATGTAAAAGAAAACAGCAGTGAGACGATTTGCTAAAAGAGGTGAGTATATGGGAGCAGGAGGGGGGGGGCCACATCATATCAGCCGTCAAGCAGAAGAGACTCATGTCTGCGCATCCCAACTGTTTGATAGAAACTTAAAAATGACGAGGAGTGGCCGGGGGAGGCTCTCCAGGCTCATCTGCAGGACACACAAAAGGGTGGGTTCAAGCGGAGAGATGGCGAACACCCTCTCCGTACAGGGCAGTGAGCACGGAGGGCACACCCGGACCTCTCAGACCACCACGCACGACCACCGGTATCTGCGAGGTGTGTGCTGTGGCCCAGGCATCGTCATTACGACGTTTAAACCCTGACAACTCAAAGGTACGATTTGGGACCAGCAGCGTGGGCATCACCTGGGAGCTGCTTTTTAGAAATGCAGACACCCTCCCCCCACCCAAAACCCACCTCAGGGACACAGACAGAGTCATCACTGGTGGAGACACCCTTCCTGGGCTGGATTTACTCAGTTTTCACGAGAACCCTGGAGGAGGCCTCTGTACACTCCCCTTGGAGCTTGGCAAGGTGAGACGGCTTACCCACAGTCCCACCACCGGACAGGGCAAAGCAGGGACCCGAATCACATCGATTTTTACCCGAGTCTGGTTAACTTCTCTAAAGGCAAGTTTCACGTCGAAACGCTGTATCGACTCCCCCACCCATTCTGAAGCAAAAATATTTCTATGCCCCGCCTCATGTCTAATTATAAATATGTACAAACTGTGAATATACTCCTTATGCTTTTTTTCTTACACAACTTTAAACAAAAACAAATGTGCAAACTCCACACAAAGCTCCATAATCAATAAGTTTCAAAGGCACCAGCATGCTGCTTTGCGAGGCTTGATCCCACTCAGCAGACAGGCACAGGGGGCCCGGGCCTCCCTCAAATTCAGAAAGCCCACGTCAGTCACCCCGCGGCCCAGCCCGCCGTGCCCCGCCGCGCACCACCGTTATCTCGGGACCCCTGGAGACTGGCTGGTAAGGAGCCTTATCACCACCGGCCCTCCCTCCAGCACAACCGACACTACTGTTATCAGAGCACGGCCACGTCCGAGCTGCACCGCCACGTCCGAGCTGCACCGCCCGCACCAGAGCCACCCGGTCTCCTGGCAGTTCAGACGAGTGCCAGGAGCTCAGTCATGCTAAGATTATCAAAAAGCAGAAGAGCAAAACCATGAAATGCCCGTGGAGAACCTGCAGCTCGCTGGCCAGCAGCCTGACTCTGGGAGCGCCGAGCTCCACTCCTTCCCAGGGACCCAGGGCCTTAAGCAGCTAACTGTGTAGGTCATTCCCAGAGCGAATCAACCTCACTGCTCTCACTGGGACAGTCATTAAGATACTTGTTCCTCGGCTGCGTTGTCTTTAAAGTTTGTGTGAAGATGACTTCTGAGCTGAGCCTTTGCTCTCCTATTTAAGAAGAGCACCCGTTACCACCCTGGACCGGCCCATTTGTTGGAAGATGTGCCAAGAAGTGACAACGTCTGGGCAGAAATTGTTATTACTCTTTAGGTAAAGCCAGGATGATGGAAAAACAATAAGAAAAGGTGATATATTTTAATACAAGCACTACCTGTGTTGCTTAATGATGGAGGATTATTGTTCAGTGGGAACACAGGCCGCGGGTGGACCTCAGCTGATATCACGGTCTTCATCACACACTCCTACGCCCCAGCAAACGTGCTCTTCCAGAGGGCTTTACAGTCTCACCACACGATCCGGGCTCCTGTCTGATGGCGGTGCGTAGCATGTGCGTACGGCGTGTGTGCAGTATGTGTGTGTGTGACACTTAAATGACGGCACATGTGAATTTTACTCCACTGCATATTATTTGTTCCAAACGCATCCCTGTAAGCTTACCTTATCCCTCCCAATTGGAAGCGGCATCGCTGTGTAGAGATTCTTTCTTCCATCAAACACTGGTTTCCGATCCCCGAAGATCTGTGTTTTAAAGTGCTGGACCATATGTTCCACTATTTCCCTGAAAAAGGACAGAATTCAAGCAAAACATCAATAAAGTCAGAGAACTGGCATACAAGGACAGCGCTCTTCTAACATTGGCTTATGAGCAATTTTCTAAGACCTACGGCTCCTTTTAGCGATAGGACTTTCAACGCTCTTCTATCAAGAATCAAATCAGAACCATCAGTGGGTTGACGCTCATTTGGTCCGTCACTCAGACACGGGAGCACCGCCTCCACGCCGGGCTGTGCACGCCACATGCGGCACACAACGCACGCATCCAGACCTCCCTGGAGAAGCTGAAGAGAGGGCCGGCGTGCGTGGGGGTCCGTGCCCAGAGCTGCAGGATTGTGCAGCATACGCTTCATGGCGGACTCCGTGGGGCCTCCCACCAGAGCAGCGTGTAACCCTGCCCTGGCTGACACTGGTGCTGGCTCGCCTGTGGCCTTGCTCTGGTCCCTGGAAAGTCAGAGGAGGTGACCCAAGCCAAGGCTCTCCAGGGGTGTGTGGGACTGGCATGGCCTCTGGCGCTCCTGCGGTCTGCTGTAAGCACGCACCCTGGGCGCTGCTGCCCTTTCAGTCCGGCCTCCGGAACAAAGACCGTAAGGTCAACAAAGCCCAGGTCCAGGCTGACCCAGTGGGGACGGTCAATGACCTGCAGGGCCCCGAGCCTGAAACAGGATCTTCATTACTGTAAGCACTCGAGGCCGCCGCGTGCTCCCCGGGCATCACAGCAGCCAAATTCCAGCGAACGCCCAGAAACCGTCCCGCTGCGGTGCCCCCCTCAACCCCCTGTGCCTGCCTGGCCACAGCTCAACAGGGACACATGAAGAGACACACTCTGAACGGCCACACGCAGCTCAGCTGTCCTGCCGGCTCAGGGCAAAGCAAGGCCCACCCACCCCCTGTGCAGGTTTGTTCCCTAGAGCCCCACATAGCACCTCTCCAGCAGCATTTCAGGGTGGTTTTGGGGCATTCTGATTCAACTCACACAATGCCTCAAAATACAGACAGGAAAGGCTGTGACGCCCGCCTGGGCCCCGAAAGCCCCTTGTAAGGGAAACATGCGAAGGACTGATAGTGAACGGACTGGGACAGGCTCCAAATCTCGGTCCTCAGCAGCAGCTTGCAGGATGCAGGAGAGATGCACTTGGGCAGCAGGGCAAGTGGGGCGAGGGGAGGGCGAGGACCTCTGAGGGACTGCCCCCAGGACAGGAGATCTGAGTTCCTTCCCTGGGGCAGAGCTCCAGTCATCCTTCAGGAAGCAGGAATTCATTCCATTCCTTTCCCAGAATATGAGGACAGCTGGCCTAAGAAGGCTTTCCTTATTCAAACTGGCTTTGCCCAGGCAACTTCCAAATGTGCAAGTCCCGGCAGAGGAGCCTCTAGGGATCCAGGCAACCCCACCCAAACACCCACTGCCTGCGAGGTCCCCAGGGCAAACAGGGCCTCTGGGCAACATCTTCTTTGATGGCTCCACCAAGAACACACCAGGCCTCTGATACTGAGTGGGAAATCACAGCCCAGCAGGTGTAAAGCCCCAACAGCCGGAGGGGCCCCAACCTCCGCCTCTGCCATTTCTGACTGGCAGCCACAGCACAGTCTCTCCTGTAGCCAGGCTATCTCCAGATCACCTCTCTCTAAGCTTCAAAGACCCCATCTTCTTGGTCAAGAGGTCACTGTCCACTCAAAGTCCAGGCAGCTCTACTGGAGAGTTCAACCCACATCCAAAGAACAAACCATTCAACTGTATTCAAAGTTATTGTGAGCAGAATTCAGGGGACCACGAGCTCATGTTATAAACATGGATGAAGAATCAGTAGAGCTGACCCTTGAACAACACAAGCAGGGGTGGGGGTGCTACACAGTCAAAACCCCACATAGAACTTTTAACACTCCCAAACCTTAACTATCAATAGCCGACACAGGTATTAGAGTCGATCAACACACATTTTGTAAAAAAAACAACAAAAACAAAAACACACATTTTGTATATTGTACATATTATATATGTATTCTTACAACAAAATAAGCTACAAAAAAAGAAAACATTGAGAAAATCATGAGGAAAAGAAAATATATTTTCAGCACTGAATTTATTGAAAAAAATCCACATATATGTGGACATGTGCAGTTCAAACCGTGTTGCTCAAGGGTCAACGGTATTAACAAACCCAGCACCATGTTAAAAATGACATTGTGTCAATGTTGGGCAGATACCAGCAATGGCAGGTTGGCCTTAACATGACAAAAGTAACTGACACAAAACATGTTTCAGCCATCAAGTAAAATCCACAGCTGCAAAACTTCTAGAAGAAAACGTAGGAGAAAGATCTTTAATGACCCTTGGGAAAGACAAAGACTTCTTAGAACACAAACAGTATGAACTGCAAAAATAAATAAATTCAAAAACATCATCAAAATTAAAATTTTTAGCCTTTAGAAGCTACTGTTACAAAAAGGAAAAGACAAGACACTGGAAGTAAATATTCGAGAAACACACCCACATATCTGACCCAGGACATGCAGGCATAATAATGTTTTAAAAATTCTCATAAGTCAGTGAGACAAACAAGCCAACTTTAAACAACCCGTAAAAGATGAGAACAGACACCCTGTAAAAGAAGCTACAGGAACGGCCAATAGGCACGTGAAAAGATGTTCCTCACCAGTCATCAGGAAAATGCTAACAAAACCACAAACTTACCCACTGGCTATGGCTAAAATCGCCAAGACTGAACAGACCAGGTAGGCGAAGGAAGGTGGAGACAACAAACTGATATGCTGCTGCTGGGGACGGAGACCACCACAGCCACGTCGGGGGGGGGGGTGAGGGGGGGGCGGGGGTGCATCACCATTTCTTATAAAGACCAATCAATGTATATTTACTACGCTGTCTAATTACAGAACAGAAATGAAAGCACATAACTACATCAACACTTGTATGCAAATGTCTCTGACAGTCCCAGCCTGGAAACAACTCCTATGCCCGTCAACTGGTGAACACACACGTTAGGGCACGAGTGTACAATGGGACACTTACTCCACTGTACGGATGGCTGGTACGTGCAACAGGATGGCTACATCTCAGAAACACGCTCAGGAAACAGGCCAGACACAAAACAGTACACGCGTATGATTCCATTTCTATGAGACTCTAAAAGGCAAAAATGAATCATTGACAGAAGGCACTTCAGTGGTTGCCTACGGGCAGGGGATGGGGGGTGGGCTGCCAAGGGCCAAGAAGGAGCACCGGGGTAGTCAGAATGTTCCACACCTCGACTGAGGTGGTGGCCACACGTGTATACACTTTTTTTTTTTAAAGCTCATTAACTAGGAACTAAAAATGGATGCATTTTGTTGTGTGTAATTATAGCCCAATAAATGTGATTTATATTTTAAAAATCAAATATGGAAAGATTTTAAATTATGGTCATCTCAAAGATGTAGGAAAAAGCATTTACTAAAATTCAACACCCATTCACAATTTTTTTTTTTAAATTAGCAAACGAGGAACAGATGGAAATGTCCTTCATCTGGTACAGATCTCCCTTTGAGATTCACAATAAAACAAAGATGCTGCTTTTGCCGCTTGCGTCCAATGCTGGGCTGCAGAGCACGGTCACCACAGAAGGGTGAGAACAGGAGGATTGTAAAGAGGAAAAACTAGCATTACTGGTGGGCATGAGCGCTGTGTTTGTTGAAAATCCAGACAAACATGCAGAAAAACGCAGTAAGCGTCACAAAGACAGTCCTTGCCTTTTTGTCTGTGCAATTCCGGGGCCTGGCACATCGTGGATACTCCATGAATGCGCACGAACACACACACACACACACGCATCACCCCCTTTCCCCCCCAGTACTAAGTCTTTATTTGTTCATCTACTTGCACACTTGTTCATTCATTTGTTCATCCTCTCAGGGCCGGCGGTGAGGCAGGGTTGGAGCTCGTGGGCACAGCCAATCACCAAAGAAACCCAGGAAGCCCAGTTTCACGCACACACAGGAGCAATGAGGGAAGGGACCCCAGCACACAGGTGCACCTGCTGCCCCATCCTCTCAACCTCTCTATAAAATGAGAACACACCACAAAGCTTTGGTTTCTAGCAGTTACATTTATGGAGTTACGTTTTTTCTTCTCCCCTGAGACAATCTTATGGCCACTTTGATAGGAGTTTTTATACCAGCAGAGGACTTCCTGAGTTACTTGGCTATACAGGATGATCACTGCTTGGAAACACGGGTTTAAATTCTTTTAAGGTCTGATGCAACATAATATCAAGGAATCACTTGTTATGTATTCATGCATGTTTACAAAATCAGCGACCACCCTGAATATTAACCTTCCCCTTTCCGTCTCCCACCTTCCAGAAGGGAAGCGCCGTCTCCTGCTGTCCCCTCTACCCTGAGACAGGAGAAGAGCACCCAAACCTGTGTGGCATTTCCTGAACTCAAGTACATGTCACAGTGAGGAATGATCTACCCAGAGTTAAGTGTGTAGGGAACAAGGTAGAGGGGACAACTCATCCCAGGTGGCACACAGGAATCTTGTATTTGGGCACTGGAAATACCCTAAGTAATTTTTTTTAATTTTTATTTATTTTATGATAGTCACACACAGAGAGAGAGAGAGAGAGAAAGAGGCAGAGACACAGGCAGAGGGAGAAGCAGGCTCCATGCACCGGGAGCCCGACGTGGAATTCGATCCGGAGTCTCCAGAATCGCGCCCTGGGCCAAAGGCAGGCGCCAAACCGCTGCGCCACCCAGGGATCCCTACCCTAAGTATTTAAAACAAAACAAAACCCAACACAACATACCATAATCGTGGACTAGAATATTCAGTTTTCCGCAAACATATCCATTCCTTCAATCCCAATCCAGAAAGGTTTACTTTTATTTGGTGGGATTTAATCAACTGATTCTGAAATGTATTTGGAAATACGAAGGACAAAGGACACTTCTGAAGAGGAACGAGGTGGATGCATAAAAGCTACAGTGACACAGATGGTGTTGGTGATG